TCTCTGTAAACTCAAGTCTAAGGGGCAAGTACCCATCATAGGGGTATTTATGCGAACTTAAACCCCATATCTCAAGGTTTTCCACAGGCTGAAGTTCCAAGTGTTTTAGATAAGTGTCATAAAAACTGCGGTATAATAGAGTCACCTGTGAGCCACTGTCAAGAAGGGCTTTTGCATAAACACCTTCTATCTGGACAGGCACTTCAGAAACAGGTCCTATCAACCCTTCAGGCAATCTTGGTTTACTGGCATCAAGTAAAAAAGAATCACAATTGGAACGTGTTGTCCCAGGAGCCCCGTGCCGTTCCTTCACTGAACTCCTGCCCAGTTTCCCTGCAAACGATGCATTTTGATCAGCTTTTGATTTACTTTCCTGAGGTCCTCTTGTCCCTTGCATTCCCACTTTTTATGTCCATCCTCACCACATCTGTAGCAAAAGATCCCAGGCACTGGTTGCTGGGTGGGTTTAGTTGGTTGTGATTTGTCTCGTTTCACACTCTCAGAGTTTTTACTAGATGTTTTCTGAGGAGCACACTCAGAAGCACACGTTGCAGTAGCCACATTCAATAGGTGACTCATCTGTGAAGATAGCTCCTTCACCTCCTTCTTCAGGCTTTGTAACTCAGAAGGCCCATCTGACTGAGGAGAGACAACAGTGGCAACCGAAGCTTTGACATTTTCCCTTGCAGCCACCCAGTGTTCCTCCTCACGTATTTCCTTCATTAACTGTGTAAAAGATGGGGGATTCTGCAAAGTGTGAGTCATTCTGATTCGCAGAGCAACCATATCATTGGTAAGTGCTCCCTTAATTAGCTGCTCCATTCTAGCTTTGTTAATTTCAGCTACATCAATCCCACCCTTTAACAACGCTCTGTGAAGAAGTTTATCTAAGCGATACAAGAAAGCTGAAAGTTTTTCTCCATTATCCTGGTAAGTGTGACGAAATTTAGCCATCAAGTCAGGCCCACACTCAGTAGTTCCATACGCAGTTTCAAGAGCAGCCAAGTACTCAGTTGCAGTGGCAGATGGCTGGCTCACTTTTAGAAACCTAACGATATCAGCAGCAGGACCTCGCAAACTCTCAACAATGCGTTGTTTCTTAGAAGCTTCAGTGCATTGCCATTCGCTGATCATTTGTGCGGCTTGCTCCATCCAGATTTCATATTCTTCCTCACCTGGAGGAACAGGTTTCAGGCCTGAGAACAACCTTAGTTTTCTGTAACTGGGTCCATCATTAGACGCTTGATTACACCTGTCCACTAATTTACCTATGGCATCAACTAAATCCACATTAATATCAGATTTAGGAGAATGCTCCCCCATCAAAATGGCTTTCACTTCATCCATAGACTTGCCCTCCTGCTGCATTAATGTTAACAACTTGGACTGAAATGTGTCATTTTCAGGAGCAGGGTTCTGAACTTGTAGTCTACCTACAAAGTGTACAGGCCAGGGTCCAGCTTCACTTTCAATACCTATTTCAGGTGGTATGGTGCTTGGATCAAGATCAGCTCTAGTCTCCACTAACACAAACAAATGTTTTCCAGTCACATCACCACGTCGACCATGAATTTGAGTACGACCAAAAACCTTCACTGTGTTTAACACTTTCTCAATAGTCTCATCACTAGTGTTCAAAGGAACATTGCTTAACACAATGGCACGTGAGGAATTTATGTTCTCCTCTGTACTCCATCGAGCAGTCTGAGAGATATCCATACTTCAACTAATGAGTTACTATGCAAAATAAGCCAGAAAAATATATCAATATTAATTAACACTATTTCAGATATATATATTTTTTTCTGCTAAAGAGAAAAAAAAATCTGGTAAAAAGGAAAAAAACAAGATCCCAGCGGTGCCTCCAAAAATGTAACCCTTTTCTTAACCTTAAGAATTATTTTTAACTATCCTATTCAGAAATACCTGGGTTCCCGGCAGTTGAATGGTGAATTAGCCGGTATTTTTACTCCTTTGTACTCTAAAAAAACTAGTTTTAGCTGAATTTAAACTATTACAGTGTGTATATGTTTGCAGTTTGTTTGTTTTGTGTTTTATATATGAATTCAATATATAACAAAACACAATGAGATGTCAAATTTAGATTTTAAGAAAAATAATAACAATTTATTACAATTTTGTTTAAAGTAAAAAGAAAATAAATAAAATAAAAGAATCAGCCCTTTATCTACACCACAAGAAAATAATAAAACAACAACAATAGAATAGAATAAAGAAGAATAAACAATTCAAAAGGAAATCCCACTAAATGAAGATTTACTCTTTCAGTCAAAATTTAGCACCTTAATTCTTCAAAATAAAATATGTAAATTAGCCTTACAAGTCTAACTGTTGTTCTTTACTGACTTCCTTTGTTCTAAATTTCTTATGTTTCCTTACATTTTGTTTTACCTCAAATCAACAGATGAGATAAAAATCACATTAAAGCTAAAGTTAAACGCTTCTGAAATAACACCTCTAAACACTATTAACTCAGATCGTTTCACAATTGTAAACAAAAAATGAATAAAGTGAACCTCCAAATCTTTACAATTTAAATGGTCTCAGTCTAGTTCACAAACTTATTATAAATCAGTCACAGTCAAAACAGTCACAAAGTCACTCAGTCAAAAAAAAACATTAGTATGCATACTTTAACGTTGGGGCCCAGTTCGTTGGTGCACATTCGCAGTTGTATTGTTTCAGAACGATCTCTCAAAATGCAATGATGATGTCACTTACGTCCATCCGATGAAAGCCAAACATATAATGAAATCCCTCCTGCACAAAGCTGTGATTTACCGCTGTCCCACGCGATAATTCCACGTCCAGCGCTGAAACAGGTCTGTCCAGTTCAGAGCAGCATCACCACCAACTCAATCAGCACAGTCACTGTTCACTCAGGTAAATGTCATTAGCGTTAGCGGCTATGCTACGAGCATGGTGTCCTCAGCTGAGAGCATACACTCGTGTGATACACGACGATCGCAAAGCGAAAACTCCACAGAGAGAAAAGCAAATAAAACGAGCTGAGTCCCAGTCACTTTTACTTTCACTTTGAAGACTTAATATTACCAATATATCGCCTCCCAACTATGAAAACACATAGGATGATCTGCTGCTGCTTCTCACGAGGCTCCTCTCTTTTTTTTTCTCTCGCTCTCTCACGCAGCTTACGTTATGATGTCATCTTAAAGGAACAGTAACTGACCAGCAAAATAGTGCTCTCTGAATATGTTGTGTCATAAAAATACAAAAATCAAATGTTGCTGGATTAACTACTTACATGCAGTTAGAAATAAACAAAAAACATTTTATAATCTGAGAATATTTTAGGGGTCCCTACATGACATTGGTTTAAGATGTTGGCTTTGCATTGGATTTTGGTCACTTTCTAACACAAGCTAAAATCAACCAAATATCAACGTCATTTTACATCGTTATTGGACATCAAAATAATGTTGTCCTTAGACGTTGACTAGACATTGAATTTTAGTCACCTGACGTCACAAACTAAATCTAACCTAATGTTAACGTCTTACGACATTGTGTGCCTGCTGGCAAAAAACTAAATGCACTACAGAATGTTACGTTTACACACATCCACAAATTCCATGTAATTTACAGCATAATACTCACTAGTACTTTTGAAAGGTCTACTTTTAACTCATACTTTGAATAATATATAAAACAGATACTTTTACTCGCATTACATTTTTAGGCAAGTAATGGTACCTAACTGGAGTACGATTTTTTAGTATTCTTTTCACCTTTGGTTCTGAGGTAGATTTTTTATGCACCATAAAGGCCACCTAAACGAATTATAAGGGGATTTTCCTCTGTAATCTTAGTGACGTAGCGCAACTTTTTTTTTTTTTTTTTTTTAAACATTTATTTGTGATGATTTTCTCAAGCTTTAACAAAACATTTTGTACATTTAAAGTTGTAACTTTCCCCCCATTTTCGAACATTGCCGCCGAAATAAATTAGCAAACAAATAAAATTAAAATACAATTACAACAGGAATAAATAAAAGTATAGCAAAATTGAAAATATTGTTAATAATAGTAAATAATTAAAAAAAAAAAATTTATATATATATGTATATATATATATATATATATATATATATATATATATATATATATATATATATATATATATAATAAGGATAGTAAATTAATAAAAAATAAATAAATAAACTTAAAAAAAAAAATTCAAATAAATAATTACCTACAGTACATGTTAATACAAATCAATATTCTGTTACATTTATAGTGGTCCTTTACATACATATCAAACTAAACCATATTGGTGATCACAGTTAAACCTGTTTGCACAGATTTATTTATATAAATCAGTTAAAGGGGAGAGTCTTCCTTTTCCCAAAACATGTAATCATAGGTTGCCATGTCTCATAAAATTTTTGGACTGATCCCTTCATTAAATACTTAATTTTCTCTAATTTCAAATATAAAATCAGATCACACATCCACATTGAAGCTTTAGGTGAAGCTGCTGATTTCCACTCAAGTAGTATTCTTCTCCTTGCTAACAAAGTAGCAAAGGCGAATACATTTTTTTCCTTGTTTGTCAACAATATATTGTGTTCTGGTACCCCAAAGATAGCTAACTCAACACTAGGTTTTATCTCTAAATTAAAGGCGTCATTTAGACGTAGCGCAACTTTTGACATGGAGAAGGTGTTAACCTTTAGTCACTCATTTTAAAGAGGCATCACCTTCACATTTACATTGTTTCCACAATGAGTCATCTGTATTTACCACTAGCAGTTTTAAGTCTGATGTAGTTATATATTTTCAGTTTTTATTGATGTTTCACTTAAAAAAAATTGTTTCACTTCAAAAATACTTTCCTAAGATTTTCTTCACATTGCTGTTCAAATGTGTTGCATGTGCAAAACTATCCTTGTAACTGAACCGCCAAATTGTTTGTATGGATTACCTTTGTGATCACATTATTTATTTATGTTTTGACAGGGTAAAGATCACAAAAATGAAGGATTGTCGTCTAGTCAGAAGACTCGACCAGGAGAGACCATGGCCTGGAAGGGTCCTCTCACAGTGGTTCTGCGTAAAAACTCTTTGGGCTTTGGTTTCACATTGCGTCATTTCATAGTCTATCCACCAGAGTCTGCCTTCAACACTAACCTGAAGGTAAATAATGTAGCATTTCTAAAATGACTTTTTATAGAGCTTTATTCTCTACTTTGATAGCTTATTGTTATCATGTGTTTTAAGCTTTGTAAGCTTTATAAGACAGTGTAACAGATCATTACACTTAAGTCCAAAGTTGCAGCAATTTTAATGATCAATTTGAAAAGGAAAGGAAGATAAAAATGAAACCTAGTTAGATTTTTAAAAACAAATGCAATCATAATTGAAAAAAGTGATGCAGGTAACTTTTTCCCAAACCTGCCAATGACTGGGGAGAACTTGCAAACTCCCCCCAGAAATATCACCTGGCTCAGCTGGTTTACTGCTGCTCTCTCGTTAAGGACTGGAGAATGCCTCCCAAACTGTTCCATTTAATTTTAGACAAAACAGTGTTTATGGGAATAAACTGGAAATTTGAGGTAGGGGGTAGGAGTAGAGGTAGACGCTAATAAAGTCAGTGTGTAATATAATAAATAATATACTTCTCGTTAACTTCTGATCACAGCTGAAGCTGTGTTCAGCACAATCTAGCACAATCCCAGGAGAGATCCAAGCTGCTCATTTTATGCCATGTTTATTCTTAACTTTTCTTTCGAAATACATGAAAGTAAAATATATTCTAGTAACATAAACAGTGTATATCTGTTTATTATTATCATTTCCATATACATCCGTGTGTATTTTACAAACCTTAACCTTAGAACTGCATTATTCACACTAAATCAAACTATTTCTGCAATCTTATATGCTCCAATGAAGGTAACACCGCATCTCTGTTTTTAATATACAAATCTTTCTCTAACCCCCCAGACTCACTACCATCTCACCTTCATTCAACAGCTTTCTGTAATTCTATCATGACCTTTTTTAATGAAAAATAAAAAATAAATACAATTGTTAAATAAAATTACCACAATTTAAACTCAGATTGTTTGGCATGTTTTCAGCTCCATACAAAGCTTATTGTTTTTTGTTTTTCTTTATTTTACTAATTTTACTTTATATTTTACTTAAATATTTTAATGGCAATTATCTCATAACAGGAGGTTTATGACATTAATCCTCCATGGTTTGTGATAATTATTATACTATTTACCCAAAGGCTGTTTAAGACAACAGAGCAAAGAGCCCTCTTCACCCCTGTCTTAGGGGTGTCTCAGTGTACTGTTTAATTATTTACCATTTATTTAGAATTATTTTTGTTTCTTGTTTTATTTTATAATGTACTTGTGATAAAACTGCCAAAAAAAACAACAAAACAAAACAAAAAAAAAACTTAAGTTAACCAGAGATGTCCTTTACTTTATTTGTATAAATAAGCAATAGTTTAGCAACTACTCAAAATGCACTGTATGGCAACGCACTTGAGAAATGCACCTACTATATGCACTGTAGATGTTGTTTTGAATTATCTGGTAAGATCAACAACCTGCACTGAAGTTCATAGGACTCCCCCTAGTGCTTAAACGGTCAAATTACAATATATTCTTCAGATGTTAAACTGACCTCAGACATTTCCTCCTTTTTTCAGGATGAAGAAAATGGAAATGGCAAAGGTAAGTAGAATGAAATATTCAGATATTATAGTGTTAATATAGTATTAGTATATTTAGTTTTAATGATTGTATGTATAGCGGTTGTATTATCTTGTTCAGGAGGTCAGCAGTTTCGTTTTGAGCCAGTGGATACCATCTTTGTAAAGAATGTGAAAGAGGAAGGACCCGCTCATCAGGCAGGCCTCTGCACAGGTAAGACAACATTTATGCCAATAAGAGAGATAATTATGATTCAACATTTGTATAAACTTTGTAGATAGGGTGATTCAGTTCTTATATTCTTGGCCAAAACAGACATCTTGTGTATTTGTTTTTTTTTTTTATTTATTTATTTACTGGTTGGTTGATCTCCTGGGGCCTGTTTCAGAAAGGAGGTTAACTGAAAACTCAGAGTATTTTAACCCTGAAATGAGAGAAACTCTGGGTTTTCCGTTTAAAAATGGCAGGTTTGTTAAACTCGAGAAAGCAGGGTAAGTCAAGCCTGTTTCTGAAAGAGAGGTAACTTTAACTCAGAGTCAGTTACTGTGGTAACTTACTCTGTGAATCTAACCTGGTCAGAAGCAGGTTTTATTCTCTAAACTCAGTTTCTGTCTGTCTCCTCCCCTTTTTTAAAGATGAAGCGGTATTTCTCGCCTTAGCCTTACGTTTCCACCCACCTATTTTAATGCTCATTTTGGATACGTGCATAAAAACGATTGATAGAAACGTCATGATGCACATAACTTTTTAAAATATGCATAAAAAACGTGCATAACTGAGTAGGATAAACTTTTATTCGATAGAAAATGTGCGCATAAACTACGATGGAAACACTTTTACTGAACAAATTACAGTATGTACATTAAAAAAAAGATCATGATCATATGATTATGAAAATGTGTGTAAATGGACAAACCAGCAGGCTGAGCACACTGTAACATGTCTTAAATATTGTTTTAGCCATTCTAAAATGCCTTAACTGTTTCAGTATTAGTGTATATTGTTAATTACCTCCGAACGTCTGGTGCGTGTCAAGAGTCTCCGCGTCTCATGGCTTCAGACGCCCCCAAGTGTTCATTGTGTTTCAGCATTGTCTTCTGACATCGAGGCGCAAGTACATTAATTAGGCTACATAAAGAATTAATTGACGCAGGTTCTTCTACCACAGTAAATTCTGTTTTTACTGTTGATATTTGGTGCCAGTTTAATCAGGAAGTGACAATTTTTTTCTCTTTGACTTGTTGGATGGAATTTTATTCGCATCTTTTATGCAATATTCCAGTTTTGCACATAAATTTATGTAATATATTTGGATGGAAACATAGCTATTGCCTACATTTTAGTCACACACAGAAGAACTGTACTAGAATGGCTTATGCTTTTTTAATAAATAATTAAATTGAATTCACCTTCGATATGCACTGTAACTAGATTAATGGGATTATTATTCCCAAAAAATTATTTTTAGTACTGCTTACCTTCTAAATGTTATATTAACCTCTATCACTTGATCAATAAAAAAGGCAGACACACAAGTGCACTGTTAAATCACTTAAAACTAATAAATGTATAAAAGAAAGTTTAGAAAAAAATATATAAACGTCACAAATTACATTACTTATTTTATTATACTTAAATATTTAAATACTTAAAAAGTTAAATTAGGCATTAACTTGAGCAGCTGTTTTCCCACGCTAACTGTCTCTGTTTCACTGATGGTTGCTTCTTTTCAAATATATACACTCATATTTGCTATAACTTTGCATGAGAACATCAAGTTCAGCTGGAGAAAGAAATGGTGATCTCTTTTATAAGATATTGCCTTAGTCACTCGTAATGTCTGCGCTCCATTGATAATGCCTTTTTAAAGTCACGGTGTGCGCGCTTAACTCTGAGTTGGTCTACTCGAAGTTGATTGACCCAACTCAGATCAGCTATTCTGAAACCGAAAACTCTGAGTTTTTAATCTCTCGGTAAATCAACTCAGAGTTCAAGTTTGAACTCTGAGTTGTTTAAACCTCCTTACTGAAACAGGCCCCTGGTGTAAATGTCAATATAATTTTTATGGTTTAACTCATGTTCATGTTTTCACATTAAATGCACCTCTACTGTATGTGAGAATTTTAAGTGGAATAAAAAAACAGCATTGGGTGTAATTAACTGATTACTTGCCATTTATTCATTCGTTATTTTTCGGCTTAGTACCTTTATTTATCAGGGGTCACCACAGCCGAATGAACTGGCAACTTATCCAGTATATGTTTTACGCAGCAGATACTCTTCAAGCCATAACCCAGAACTGGAAAACACCCATACACTCTCTCTCACACACACACTCATGGCCAATTTAGTTCATCCAATTCATCTGGAGGGAAACTGGAGCACCCAGAGGAAACCTATGCGAACATGGGGAGAACATGCAAACTCCACAAAGAAATGGCAACTGGTCCAGCTGAGATTCAAACCAGTGACCTTTTTGCTGTAAGGCCACAGTGCTAACCACCAAGCCCCCGTATCACCAATGACTTTTAATTTTTAGGTAGTTACAGTTACTTACATGTACGTGTTTTAAATATAAATTCAGCAGCAATAAATTATTTATCAAGGCGATACACATGTTTAAAAAAAAAGGATTGGATGAGAAAATAGTTATCGACAATATATGGTATAAATTCAAAGAACACAGTGAAAGTGTAAATATTGTTATTCTGATTTTTTGCTTAATAAACTACATTTTTCAACTAAAGAATGTTACATTTGTCCAACAACTCCACAAGAAATGCTTAAGAAATTAATGACAATATAAGGTTTTGTAAGACATATGGTGTCGTTACTTTAAAATTTTGTTTTGTGTAGTGTTTTGATACATGTAATCATTAACTTTTCTTTGGTGTTAAATTTTTAACAAGGTTAATGACCATGTTTGTTAAATTTAAAGAATTATTAATCCATTTATTTTCCTTCAGCTTAGTCTTGATTTTTAAGGCGTCACCTAGACAGCTGGAAAATACCCATTCACCCTCCCATTCTAACAGACACATGCTCATACACTACAGCCACACCATTTATCTGTGAGGGAAACTGGATCACCTAAAGGGAATCCCATGCAAACACAGAGAGAACATGCAAAGTCCACACAGAAATGTCATCTAGCCCAGCCGAGACTCAAACCAGTAACCTTCTTGCTGTGAGTGACAGTTCTAACCAGCCCACGTGCTAAAATTTAAAGAATTAAAATAAATTATTTTCTTTGTATGTGCATTGAGATATGGATTTTAAGGCGTTCTGAGTCCAGGAAAAAAATACTTTCTGTGAAATTGAATTACTTTTTAGTCACCGCAGTTTAAATACATTTTTAATAAAGTAATTAGCAATTAATTGCTTAAGTAATTTAGCCAGTGGACGATTGACCGGTAAATCGAGAGCTTTGTTTTTCGGCTCAGCTCCTTCTTTACCACAACGGACCGGTACATCAATGGCATTTCTGCTCCCGCATTCCTGATCCTCCTATCAATCTCCTTTTCCATCATTCCCTCACTTGTGAACAAAACCTCCAAAATACTTAAACTTATGCACCTGAGTTAAGCACTTTCCTCCAACCTGGAGATGGCAAATCACCTTTTTCCTCGGACTTGGAGGTGCTGATTCTCATCCCAGCCATGTCACACTCGGCAGCAAACCACCACAGTGCATGCTGAAGGTCCATGTTGAATGAAGTCAACAGAACATTGTCTGCAAATAACAGAGATGAAATCCTGTAGTCCCCTTTTTTATTCACATTCACAGAGGCCAGCAGTGGTGTTTTTAAAGTTGATCTTGTTAACTGTAGGCCTCGGCCCTCCACCTAGAAAAAAAGAGCAGGTTCCCTCTTCTCCAGGTGGCCTGTCACAGGGTCGCTTCGTGGTCTTTTTACCCAATGTAATGGTGCTCTGAGGCAGTGTACTCCATCCTGCGGGAAGCTTGACACTGCTGCTTGGCTGGTAAAGCAAGCTGCGAAGGTGGAGCAGGTCTTGTGGCCACAGGTGGACACCCTTAGCTATTAGCAGCTGAGATGGATGAGGCGGCGGGGAGAGCAGTTATTTTTTTTTTGAGCTCACTGATAGATAACCTCTCCCATCGCCTTCAACTGCTCTTTTACCGTCAAGAACTACAGTAGGTAAAGTCCCCAAAGGTGTCAGCCTTAAAAATAAATTTATTCCTGCCAAAATTAAACAAATAACACTTTGTCCAGAAGAACAAATAAATATATAGGAAATACAGTGAAAATTTCCCTAGTCCATTAAAAATAACTTGATAAATATTTTTAAAAGAAAAGAAGTTGCACAGGATGGCAAATAATTTTGCCCTCAACTGTATATATTTGTTATGTGAATGTATCATTCAGTCAATTTTGTTTGGAATATAATTGAGTCCTTAATTTTTACTTCTAAGAGATATAAAAAGCATAAATAGTCCTCACTTTAGATTTTAATTCCTGAAAACTTTGAATTGTTTATTAATAATTTACTTATTCTGAATGATCTTAAATTATTATTATTCAACTAAAAATGAATCATTACCAAAGTATAAAAATGCAATCCTTAAGCACATTATATATGTGCCCATAAGTCAAGTACAGCATTTGTAACTGTAGTTATTAATTGCATACTAATGCCTATCAATGTAGTTGTAACTGTAGTATGCTGGACAACAGAGGTGGGGATAAAATGTGACACCGGTCAAATGGGTACAAACAGTATCATAGAGGTAATCCAGAAGTGTAGTCTCAGGCGAATGGTCAGCACAGGCAGCAAAGAAGTAAGTAAGTAAATAAAGTAATGTGTATTTATATAGCGCATTTATTGTGTATGGCCATACACCCAAAGCGCTTCACAATCATGAGGGGGGTCTCTCCACACCACCACCCAGTGGCGTAGCGGACGGGCCCGCAGGGCACGCACCGCGGGGGGGCCCCGCGTGATTAGGGGGCCCCGCGTCGTCGTGATTTTCAATGATTAAAAATCCACCGGCGAACGCAATAATCAAACTCTTGGGAACAACTGTGGTCGGAACCAAAGTTCACACGTCTGTGTTCTCTGAACACCTCTCAAGCGCTGGACTACTTCATTCTGATTGCTTGCCGCCAATGTTGCCAACTTAGCGACTTTGTCACTAGATTTAGCGACTTTTCAGACCCCCTTAGCGACAAATCTAGTGACTTTTTTGTGTTATTGGAGATTTTTTTTAGACTGTCATTTGTCCATACTGTACCGTCCCTACTCTTCTCAACAAGCTGCGTGTGATGCCGCCGGCCCCTCCCCCGCCTCACAGCACTGACAGGCGGCCCAGTCAGTCCTCTACAGCAGCCTCTCTCACCTGCAGCCCGAGAGCAGATCACCCCTCTGCATACTGACGACAAATGATTTAGCACAGGCAGTGTGAAGGTATTTCTCTTGTACAGTCAAACCGATGTACTTCTACTTTATTTTAACATTTTAATTGGACCGTTTATTCTTTTCTTGTTCACAATCACAGATATTAGTGACAGTTTCTGAACTTGTCTGAGTTTATTACATATGAGAGATTACTGCACATTCACTACATATCTATAATGACATACTGTATTCAAACAGCAATAAATTTAGTAAATAAACATGCTTATATAAAGTGTAGTGCAATTATAAATGCCCCTTTATTAACCATAGGCTGTTAAACAAACAGAAACGGTAGAACGTGATGACGCCAGTGATATGCAAATTGACGTATGACGTCAGCTTTGTCACATATAAACATGGAAAAAATAGTTTGAACGGCTTATTTTTAATTATATATTGATAATTATGAAGAATGAAGTAGAATTAGGGTCTTCCTGGTAGATCCTTCGCTGAAGTTCTCATTTCTTTAGCAATCTGCATAGGCTAGATTGCTGGTGATCGTGACAGTATTGTTGATGCCTTACACATGATTAAATAACGATTTGCTAATGCTTACAGACTGATTCATAGTGTGCTGTTATTATAAAGTGTCACCATTGTTTTTTGTTCTTAATCTCTCTGTCGTTCATTTCTTTTTGTTCTGCTTTTGTTTTGTTAAAGGTGCAGTAGGTGATCTGCCAAAAAGCTAACCGTTTAGCATATTATCTTCGGAAGGCGGGGAGGGACTGTGATTCAAAGCCACACCCCCTGAAATCGCGAGTGTGTGCAACAGCCGACAGACAACCCCCTAATTCAGGTCATTCGCCAGTTAGTTGGTCCCAGCACCGTGCAGGAATCACATTTATTATACTTAGCCACACTTACATGCTATTTCAGAGCGAATATTCAGAGTAGCATGGTAAACAGTATAGGAAGGCTGTAATTGTTCAAAAATGACCCAATGTGTATATAAAGCAACTTCAGCTCAGTAAAGCAGGCTAGGCGGAATAGCGCTATTTACTGGTGTTTTGTTGTTAAACTAAATATAAATCTACTTTATAGATGCTGTCAAAGAACCTTATGAATCTGAAAATAATCCCATCAATCTTTCACCAGGAGATTTCAGTGGCTGAACAACACGTCTGTGCATATGAGTCATTCATAACAAAACACAATCTAACATAAAATAGTTTAAAAACAGAACATTACCTGTCTAACAGTGATACTTCAGCCATGGTGTCATCTTTCCTCCAGCGTGCTAAAGTAACTCCAATATTGATTCAGGTATTTAAAAGTTTCAATTCAGCATTAAATAGCTTTACATCAGTCTTGTGTTTTTTATTCTCCAATAAAATGAAAGCAGAGGTGGGGTTTCCGTTTAGGTGCCTGCAGTGTTTGTGTTGTCAAGGGCACATTTGGTGTGATCAGCCCCTTAGAACGGAAAAGCGCGTTCAGTGTGATCAGCCCCAAAGTATCAACATCACAAGATGTCTGGCCTATTGTACAAGAATTAAAGAACTAGATGACCCCTACTTGCATGGTCAAGGTTCAAGACCATACGTCATCAATACCGAATTTTGATATTTGAAATATGTCATGCCCTTATTCACCTCATCAGCATAAAATTCTGATAAATGTGTGTGCTTTTTTTTAGGTGACAGACTAGTGAGGGTGAATGGGGAAAGTGTGCTGGGGAAAACGTTCTCTCAGGTCATAGCATTGATTCAGAATAGGTGTGGTTACTTTAACTATATATTATTTAATGAGCCATACTTGCAAGGAAAAGTACATTTGTGTCCAAAGCGAATATGTGCTCCATAACCAGGTTTGTTTGTTTAGTGACAATGTGCTGGAGTTGTCCATCATGCCAAAAGATGAGGATGTGCTACAGCTGGTAAGTTAAAGCATAACATTTCTTCTTTCTGACACTTTCTTCTTCGTTCTTCACCTTTTTACTTGTTATGGTTGGTTACTGTTGGTTACTGTCCAGTTAATGAAATCTGAAAGCACATTTTCAAATTTGCTTAGGGTTACTTTAGTTGTGGTTCACGTTATAAGGTTGTAAACTTTATTTTATTATTGTTTCCTTTGACTTATTCCCTTATTTATCAGGGGTCGCCACAGCGGAACGAATTGCCAACGGCTCGGCATATGTTTTACATAGAGGATGCCCATACATTCTTTCTCACAAACACATACACAATGGCCAATTTAGTCCAATTCACCTATACCACATGTATTTGGGCTTTGGGGGAAACGAGAGCACCTGGGGTCTGTTCTTCATACGCGGATTACTCAGTTAGCTGGATTTGGTTATTGACTATGTGACATAATCCAGGATCGTTTTGTTCTTCAAGAGTTGTTGTCACAGCAACAGTTCTGCTAGCTCAAACCTGGTCGGAAGCAGATTCAATTCATATAAACAGGATTAGATCGGCTCAGTTCAAGCAAAGATAATGCAGAAAGTATGTACCGAATTCAGATATTTTTTTACAGTAGTAGTTATAAACACTTGGGAAAATAGTAAATATTTTTAAACTATATATGAAGTTATAGCTATTAATAAAACAAATAAAGTTTTATTTATTAATAAAACTTGTGCAATCTTCACCCCCGATGAAAATGAAAGTACAAAGACTGCCACCTGGTGGTGCAAAGAGAAAACTTGTCGATATTAACTTTTTTAGATCGCTTTAGTACAATTTGTGTATGATAATAGACATGCACAATATGTGACTTTTTTTAAAGCAATAATACATTTATGCATTCATAAACATGTTTTGACAGTTAATATGATGGTGATTTGATGCTTTATAAAAGTTGCAGACACCTTTACCAATATCAAAATGCTTTTGTAAACATCTCGTTATTCTTTACACCAATTTAAAAAAAAATGGCTACTATAATACTACTATGGGTACTATAATAAGGAAATCCGCTCTAACTGTAAAACTAAATAAATTGGTCTCAACACATGAAAAGGCCAATCATGCAGGCCACTACAAGGTGTAAAGTTATTGCAAGAAAAAATATTTAACTAATTGTTTCCTATGAATTTTATGTAATTTTGCTCACATAATTAATTCAATATTAATCAGATGATGTCATTACGCTGCTGTGCCATCAGCCAATCGTTGCATTGCTGATCATGATTTCGAGGATCGATGGATCGGTCCTTCACAACACACGCCACGCAGCGATCTCAGATCAGTTCATCCAGACATTTTAATCTAATTCACAAACTTGTTTGAAGAACCAAATTAGCCAGAGATCAGTCATCAAGATTAAAAGATCCAGGATCTGCCAAATCATCCTAGATCATTTAAGCAAGGTATGAAGAACGGACCCCTGGAGGAAAGCCACAAAAACAAGAGGAGAACATGCAAACTCCACACAGAACACATCAATAATTTAGGATATTTTTAAACAATGTATTATTTAAAAGTAATTAAATGCATAAGCTTGTAACAATTTTATGAGGCAATAATTAAATTTTTATCAGGTCCAATTAATAAAATAAATAGCCAACATTAAATGAATAAATAATTAACAGCAACAACATCAACAATAGTACAGTACAACTATAACAATCGTAATACACTCTAAACTAATTTATTGTAATCATTTTTATTTTAGTGCACATTTTTCATCTGGCATAGCACAGGTTAAGTACACTTGGATAGTCCTAAGTTTATCTTAAAAACTACTAAAGTCTAACTACAAAAGCTTTGAGCAAAAAGTGAACTCTTCAAGAACATAAAGTAAGTGTAAATTTATAAAATGTATTTCAATGCACTTTTTGCATGGTGGTAATTATTGTATTATTTTAGGTGTACTTAAGTGTCACATTGGAAAAATGCAATTCAATTGGTAATTTCAAATGCATTCAAATTATTCTTTTAAGTAATACTTTTACATTTTTGAATCACATTTTTTAAGTAGTACACTTTATTGCTATATACTAAAAATAAATTTAAATACATATATAAAAAAACTTCCATTTAATTGATATCCAAAATAACTATGTAAAAGTGACCTTTGAATTATTTTATAGCATTCAAATGATACTTTTTAAGAAATACACGTAGGGAGCGACGCGGTGGCGCAGTAGGTGGTGCTGTCACCTCACAACAAGAAGGTTGCTGGTTCGAGCTTCAGCTGGGTCAGTTGGCATTTCTGTGTGGAGTTTGCATGTTCTCCTTGCGCGGGTTTTCCCCACAAGTTCAAAGACATGCGGTTCAGGTGAAGTGGCTAAGCTAAAATTGTCCATAGTGTATGTGTTTGAATGAGTGTGTGGATGTTTCCCAGTGATGGGTTGTGGCTGAAAGGGCATCCGCTTTGTAAAACATGTGCTGGAAAAGTTGGCGATTCATTTCGCTGTGGTGACCCCAGATTAATAAATGGACTAAGCCGAAAAAAATAAATTAATGAATTAAATAATGAATTGTCATTCTGAAATGAAATTATTTAAGGTAAATTTAATGTATCAGTACTTGGGGTTTCTGTGGTTCCTTAAACCTGTATTTTAATTTTATGTCAACAAAATGTTGTGTTTTATCTTTTATTCTCAAGCACATCTTTATTTACAATTAACACAACTCATTGAGTTTGCTTTCTCTATTATTATACAGGCATATTCTCAAGATGCCTACTTGAGAGGGAATGAGCCATACACTGGAGAAACACAAAACCTTCCCGATCCTCCTCCAGTCTGTAACTTAAACAGCAAATCTCCCTCAACATCGCAGAACCATGCTATTCCTGTTAACATGAACTCTGAGATTGTTGTAGTGTCTCAACCTTCCCCTCACTGCCTGATTCGTCACCGCATCTGCTCTTCATCCTCAGGTGGGAAAACAAACCTGCTGGACTTCCACTTTGCCAACCACAATGCAGCTATTGCCTCTGCCTCACTAGTTCACCCTAGGAAAGCCAGTCTTCCCCAAGGTCACAGTGAACTGTGCCACCAAGGTCTGTCAGACTGGTACTATAGCCAAGTAGACCAATCAAGCCTTGGCAATTCCCATCATTACCAGAGCAGCTCTCAAGACAGGCTTTATGAACTGGGACTGGCACCAGGAGGGTCTCGTGGTGGTCGGACACACAACTCATCTCAGGATGCCCTACTACATTACAGTGCAGTGATGGGGATCCACCATTCACCTTGCACAGATTCTTATGGTCTTGGGAGAACAAGTAAACTCTCTAGCCATTCCTGTTCTGAAAACTTGCTAGCTGCTTATGCTTCGTACGAGCAGAGCTTTGGTCATTCACTGGAAACTCTAGAAAAGGCATCCATTCTGATCTCACCCCATTATAAAATACCAACACAGCCTCATGAAATCACTCAGCTAATCAGGGTAGCGGAGTGCAAAAGTATTGCCAATAATCACACAAATGGTTCCGCAGTTTTGCAACCATCAGGTGAGGGTTTAAGGCAAAAACAGCAGCCAGCTGTTCACATCAGACATTTACCTGCACAATATGTTGAGGGTCAGATGGTTGGCTGCCACACCTCCATTCCAAAAACCATCCCACTGCAGAATCCATCCTCCATCACTCCCTCTGCTGCAGAGTCCCAAGAGCCCCAACGCTCACTGGTCACTGTGTTTACTGAGGAACCTTTACAGCTTAAAAAAAATCTCCCCTCAGGAATTGAGACACACCATTGTACTTCTGTGAATTTTATTAAACCCCTTTCAGCTAAAGTTCTTCCCTCAAGGTCAGAATATTCTGTACACAAAACTAATAGTGGCATTACACCCTCATCTGTGGAGCAGGACTCCTTGGCTGTCATCCCATTCAAAGGTCAGTATATATCACTTTGAATAATGGAAAATAACTATGTTTACATTTAGTCATTTAGTTTATTTTACTTTATTAAGTTCAGTTCATTGGATCATGTATGGGCCTAAACAAATTTGCTTGTTTGATTGTTGTTGTTTTTTACAAGAGTTAAAAACAAAATGGTTTGATCTTATACACTTTTTTTCTTTTTTTAATTTCTTTCATTGTGAAGAATACTAACATACACAATCAGTTAACCAAAATACCATGCTAGTGTAGTCATCTTGCTAACATACGACAAACAAAAACACAGTGATGTTTCCCGGCTAACAGGGAACATTCAGTAACGTTCATTAAAAATTATGTAACTGTAAACTTGCAACTTTATTAAAATAGAATTTCTGAAACATTCTAGTACCACTGATAGAAAAAGGGTCTCAACAATGTACTTGGAATGTAGTCATTGATGATTATACTTTTCGTTTTTTGGATTTCCAGTTCAACATAATTATTTTTATGGTTATAGTTCAAGAAATGAGTTGTGGAGTTTGTGGTGACTAAAATCCTAAATGAATAACTGGCTGACAGTTCCATGTAGCATGCAAGTAATCATCAGCATCTAGTATGCATTGTGAGAAACTGTTGCTTAAGACTATTTTTTACTATATTTGACTATATGAGTTGAATATTTGCATTGTTAGTCATGGAAAATGTATAAGCACAAGTTGTTGTTGTTTTTTTTCCAGAAGTCGGTGTTGGTGCCGCTGCTAATTGTAATGTTGTACCGATATTTATTATTATTTTGTGAAAGGTTAAAAGTCTTTTGATGTTGGTGAGTTTCATTAACTTTTTCATCAGCTGAGAATTATTCAGCGGGGTTGTTTAATGTATTCATTTTTCATTTATTAACAGATTTTGTTTGTTGATATTGAAAATACACTGGGGCGGCACAGTGGCTCAGTGGTTAGCAAAGGTCATAAAGGTCGCTGTTTTGAGTATCTTACTCCCCATGTTAGCATGGGTTTTCGTCTGGGTGCTCCGGTTTACCCCACAGTCCAGAGACATGCTCTATAAGTGAATTGGGTTAACAAATTGGCTATAGTGTATGACTATGTGTGTAAATGCAAGAGTGTATGGTTGTTTCCCAGTACTGGGTTGCAGCTGTAAGGGCTGTGTAAAACATATACCGCAATAGTTGATTGCTCATTCAGCTGTGGTGACCCTAATAAATAAGGTACTAAGCCGATTGAAAAAGAATGAATTAATTAATGAATGAATGAATGAATGAAAATTCACTGAAAAAGTCAATTGGATTTACTTGATTTAATTGTGTACATCAGTTCCACATTATGGCGAGGCAGTGGTGCAGTGGGTAGCACAATTCACACAGCAAAATGGGAGCTAGTTTGAGTCTCGACTCACCTAAAGTTGGCATTTTCTTCCTGTGTTTGCGTGGGTTTCCTCCGGGTGCTCTGGTTTCCGCCACAGTCCAAAGACATGCTCTATAGGTGAATTGGGTAAGCTAAATTGGCCATAGTGTATGTGTGTGAATGAGAATGTTTAGATGTTTCTCAGTGATGGGTTGCTGCTGTAAGGGCATCCGCTGTGTAAACAAATGATGGATAAGTTGGCGGTTTATTCTGCTGTTTTGAACCCTGATTAATATAGGGACTAAGCCGAAAAGAAACTGAATGAATGAGTTCCACGTTATTTAGTTTGGTTAATTTAAAATGTTCTGTAGAACTAAGTCTTAATGTCACAAGAGATACTGAAAAGGTTTGGGAAAACATTGTTGGAACTGATTAATTGGATGGTGGGTGGCATGATCACCTCACAGCTAGAAGGTAGCTGGTTGGAATCCAGGCTGGGCCAGGACGCATTTCTGTGTGGAGTTTGCATGTTTTCCCAGTGGTTTCCCAGTGGTTCCCTTGGGTTTTCTCCTGGTGCTCTGGTTTCCCCCACCGTTTAAAGACATGCAAGGTGAACTGAATAAACTAACAGTGTAAGTGTGTGTGTATGGAGTGTATGGGTTTTCCCAGTGCTGTATACTTCATGCTTAATAATCAGAGCTATTTTTAATTGAATAGAGCATCCCTTCCATAACAATAAACAAGAAACTTAAAACATACATTTGGTAAGACAAGAAAAGCACAAATAATAATAGATTATTACAAGAGTAGATGAGAAGAATAGATAAGTTACAAGAGTAGAAAAAAAACATGTTTTGCACAACAATTATCAAAAAGGAGTCTTGAAAACGTAATTAATTAAAAGGATTTAAAAATGACAGAAAAAATATCACATCATTAAAATATATTACTGAAAAGTTTGTGTGTTTGTAGGGGGAGGTCAGTAAGTTCTTGTCAATAGTTTTATATATGCTTTAATGGACCATTTATGATGTTCTGTTTTGTACAATAATTACTGACTAAAGAGTCTTCAAAACAAACAAATGAAGTGTAGAAGGGACCTGTAAATTTTTTTTTAAAAGATTACATTATTAAAACATATTAAAGAAAATTAATCAGAGTTTCTGGAAAATTTAAATAATAAATATGTTATGTTTAACACATATATTTTACAAAAGTGTTTAATATATCTAATTTTGATTTTATCAAGACTGGCCTTTCAGTTATTTCAAGCAAACTGTTCACAGAAATGTATATCAGAATCATTATTAACAAATTAAAAAATGCAAGTTAATAATATGTCCTTTTAAACTGAAAACAAATTATAAAAAAAGTTTTTGTTGAAGCTCTTTTTAAATTCTTTTTGAAATCGACTCCCTGCCCCACTGCACAACGGCTCTTATAAAATATTAAAGCCTTGTACACCACATAATGACAGTAAAAATTACACAACTCAGATCTTCTATCAGATAAGTTTGAGATTATTTCTGCTGATTACACTTGATAAATCAGAGTTAAATAACTTTAGACCAAATGACCGTCTGTTCGATCAGGTTTTTTGAGGCAACTTTAACATTAGCTCGGACAAACCCTCATGCAATTATACTTAAAAACACGTCGTATCACATTATTTCAACAAATAAAAAATATACATTTTGCAAATTTCATATTGGAAGCACTTGAAAGGGAAATATACCATAACTGCTAAACAAAGTCAACATTTAAGTACATTTTAAGCAATCATAGTGAAAAACGGTATCAAAACACTCACTCAGCACAAGTGTTCTTCTAAAAAAAATATATAAATGTGATATATTTGTCCTCAAAACATTGTCTGACAATACAGGGGTTGGACAATGAAATTGAAACACTGGCCAAATTAGTGTTGAAGGTTTCGTGGCTAAATTTGACCAGACTGGTGGACAATCTTCAATGATTGCAGATTCCACAAGTAAAGCTGCGGTCACACTGGACTTCTATTGCCATAGACTTCCATTCATATGCACACGTCAGACCAGAAACACAAAGTCATGCGTCAAGTTTCGCAGGTCGCTGTGGTGCGAAGTTCAAGCTTGGTGAACTCTGACCTGCAAAATTGCATCACTTGACTGCGTGAGACCAATTTAGGATCAAAACATGACCTCTCTGGACAGAAATTTAAAACATGGAGTAATCGCTTGCTTTCTTAAATGTCTAATCATCTTGTTTATTGCCAACCCCTTTCACAGTGCCGCACAACAGAATTTCGCATGCTCAATTTCTGACCGCAGCTTAAGAGCAGAGTGTGAAGGTATAATTAGCAGAGCAATGGCACAGTTTTGCTTGAAATTTTGCAATCGAACAACATTATGGGTGATTAAAACTAGACAAATGGTTAATATGTGTCTTGCTGGCGCATCTGTGTCCAAGACAGCAAGTCTTTGTTATGTATCAAGAGCCACTTTATGCAGGCTAGTGTCAGCATACCACCAAGAAGGACAAACCACACACAACAGGAGACTGTAATGTAGCTGTAGACACAAGGGAAAGCTGTCCGAAAGGGAACACACAGCAAGACTGGTGACGGAGTGATTTGATGAACATGAAAGTGAAGTTGAACATATCCCATGTGCTGCACAGTCACCAGATCTGAATATTATTGAGCCACTATGGGGGTGTTTTGGAGAAGCAAGGAAATGTTTTTCCCACCAGCATCACGTAGTGACCTGGCCACTATTCTCCAAAAATAATTGCTCAAAATTCCTCTCGCCACTCTGTAGGACTTGTATCATTGCCAAAACAAATTGATGCTGTATGGGCCCCAAAAAGGCCCTACATAATACTAATACATTTTTTTAGTTTCAGTTTCATTGTCCAAACCCTGTATATATATATTGTAGGGATGGATTTTAGTATTTAATGTGCCCTGCGATTAAACAATAAAAACTCTGGAGTCTGAACAAGAGGACATCTGAGAAAGTACCCAGGATAGCCTTTGACACATTCTTGCCCTCTTCTCTGCTGAGCTGGACCTTTCCTTCCCCTCATGGACCTTTCCTTCTCTTCTTGCTAACTAAGCCATAGCCATATCACCCTGCAGCCCAAGCAAGGCTGAGCCTGGTCAGTACCTGGATGGCCACTAGGGAACACTAGGTTGCTGTTGGAAGTGGTGTTAGTGAGGCCAGCAGGGGGCGCTGCTGCAAAATTGCAGGGGGCGCTGCTGTGGTCTGTGTGAGTCCTAATGAACCAGTAAAAGTGAAGGGGACACTATACTATCAGTGGGCGCCGTCTTTCAAATGAGACGTTAAACCGAGGTCCTGACTCTCTGTGGTCATTAAAAATCCCATGGCACTTCTCGTGAAAGAGCAAGGGTGTAACCCCGGTGTCCTGGCCAAAGTCCCTCTATCGGCCCTTATGATCATGGCCTCCCAATCATACCCTTCCACCGAATTGGCTCTATCACTGTCTCTCCACTCCACCAATAGCTGGTGTGTGGTGAGCGCACTGGCGCCGTTGTCTTGTGGCAGCCGTCGCATCATCCAAGTGGATGCTGCAAAGTGATGCTGTGGTGGTGTGGAGAGACCCCCCCTAATGATTGTGTGAAGTGCTTTGGGTGTATGGCCATACAAATAAATGCGCTATACAAATACACATTACAAAAATACACATTACATTACATTAAATATAAATAGTCAGGTGTGACTGGTAATGAAATGTTGTTCCCTCTTGTAGAGTGGTTTGTTGTGGAAGCCCTCTACAAAGATCATTGATAATATTTGTTTTAGCTTCAAACAGATGAGTAACCCTTGCTAACTCTTACAAAAGAACCATTTCTAACACTCCTTGGGTATTTAAAGATAAGGTTGAAATGTGTCATGGCGTGAGTCTGAATCCAGACTGGCCTATATTGCAGAGCTCTCAAGCTCAACACTATGTATAATTTAATCTTGACTATCCACGTGTACTTTTATATTTATCTGTGAGTAATTGATTTATTATTTATGAATTATTGTTTGACACGATATTTGGCATGAAACACTTATCCGGAATATAAAGTGTTAACTTTTGATTTATTCTGATTTCTCCAGAAGTCATTATTTCCAGTAGATTATGTGGAGTCTACATTTATCATTTAAGTGTACAGAGCTGGAGACACGACAGCATGAAGACTTTTTTTAATTTCTGTTTAAACACTGTTGTTAATAATTGTATGAAAATGACTGAATTAACTAGTACAATTAGCAGGAGCCAACCGGAACAAGAGAAATTAGTTAACCCTGCATCCTCTGACTAACCTCAGAATGTTGAGATCCATGTGTCCACGAGAAATAGCACAAACATGGGTTATGAAACTCTAAGTGGCCCTAATGAATGTATACATTAATCAACATTTGAAATGAATTAAAATGTTTTTTTAAAATTGTCCTAGGACAAGAATGGGTGTTGTCCAATATTTTGAGGACAATTATTTTGATGTAAGGTGATGATCTACTTCAAATGTTGACTACAGTAATTTAAGACTATGTAATCAGATTCAAAACTGTAAATTGAATAATGAATGAGAAATGATCCGTTCCTAATTAGACACAGAATTAGAAAAAGTCTAAATTTAATGATCATTTAAAATTGGGGTCAGATTAAATTAGTAGTTGGAAACAAGTATAAATAAATTCTAGTAAATACCAGATTTTTTTTAGAAGAACTAGAAAAGGCATATATGCATTTAATCTTTAACCATTCATCTGATTTCATCATTAGGCTGATAGAATGTAATGCTAAAACATAAAAAAGTGAGGACTGTTTAGGCTTTATAAATACCTATAAATGACAATTAAACCTCAGTATCAAATGAAAAATAAATATTTGCAACCTTAACAAAAAAAAAAAAAAAATATATATATATATATATATATATATATATATATATATATATATATATATATATATATATATATATACTGTACAGTTTAAACTGCTAAAGTGTAAAAAAAATACAAAATATATTTTTTTAATAAAAGATAAAAAACAAAAACTACATAATAATATAACAATTTAACAGTATGTTAAAACATTGCAATGATATTCAGTAGTATTTAAATGTAGTAAAAGTGTGTAAAAGTTATTATTGCAAAGATTTATTTTTATTTGATAAAGTTTCATTTGTGGATCTTGAAATGATAAATTATGATATGAATGAAACTCTTAGATAATACTGCAATACGTAATTGAGTAATGAAGAATTAATCATCGACTAAGCATGAAAATACAATTTATTATGCACATTATAGATGTGCTTATATGTCAAGAATACAGCACTTGTATTGTAATTATACACTTGGTACTTATGTCCATTAATGCAGAGTTAATTCTTAACAAATGATAATTTGATTAATCATTTGCAAATGCTTAATGAGTAATTCATAGTCTGCAGTTATTGTTTAATTATTTGGGATGAAATACTGATGTTTACTGATATGAAGAGATTTGGTGCATCTGACCTAGTGGCATGTTTTAATTATGACATGAAATATTAGACTTGAACAACCTCAACAGCTCATACACTTGGGTTATTTTATTATAAAGAAGGAACACAACAGGAGAACAGTGTTATCTTAATATGTGTAAGTTGTATTATAATTGTGTTTCTTATGAAAAAATGAGATGACTTCTGACCTACTGTATATACTCCTTCATGAGTATTTCATAGTCTTTATTTAGATGTACACAGAAAGTGCTCTGACAATGCAGCCTCTCCAAGTTACTGAGTTACACCATACTAAAGGGTAAATTATTTACAAGCATCATAAATACAGATAACAAACCTCGTGGATAGTAGCCATCAGTTTCTAAATTTATGTCCTGCAATTCTTTCTTTTTTCCAGTAGATAATGGCCAGCTTACCTTTAAGATTATAGTAAGGATAGTTTTCATGTTTAAAACTATATTCAGTGTCATTTATTGACATCTGAAAACAAAAGTGTTTAGGCTAACTCTGCATGGACATGAATAATGCACTAATTAGACTGAATTAGGTAAATGAATTACTGTTTTTTTCACCACTGTCTGTAGACAATATTTTTTTTTCATTTTGTTTGTAATAATTTGATGGTTGTCCCTTTTGAACCTCAGACAGCAATGTCAGTCACTCTTCCTCTAGGCTTTGTTGATTCTCCCCAGCTGAATAATCAAAGTAAAAATTGACTTCAGCCTTCTTTGGATTTTTGACTTGGTTTGGATTTGTATTTTCACCATGTTGGTGTTTTAAAGAATTTATCTTTACTTCAGAACAGCCAGCTGCTCGCAGTGTATGCCGATAGTTTGCAATCTTTTACTGTAGACTGATTTTCCAGCCATAGAATCCAATGATCCATTTTCCTGTAGCTATGGAAGCTTGGTGCTTTTGAGACCTCTTTGTACTCTTCAATTCTAGGGTACACTTTTCACTTCACGACTTCTGCAGCCAAGGATTTCAGAATTTATTATTTTTTTATATAGTTTGGGTTTTGAGTCATGTCACTTATGTTTGGGTTTTGAGTCATGTCACTTATATAAGTGAGATATCATCATTTAAGAACTATTTGTTAATTTTGTATTAACAAAAAAAATGTTTGGAGCTGCTATTTAATTCTTATTCAACAGAAATAGTCATATTTTTTCAATTTATGTGGTGATTGTGTTCATATACCATTGAAAGCAAAATTATTATCCCTCCTGTAAAAAAAAAAAGTTAAATATTTCAAATCATGTGTAACAGAGCAAGGAATTGTTCAGTATTTCCTATAATATGTTTTCTTTTCAAGAAAGTCTCATAAAATAATAATAATAATAATAATAATAATAATAAAAGTAGTTAGAATAAAACTTAACAACTTATTAATGAAGTCAGTTTTTATTTTTGAACCATTTAGGGTCAATATTATTAGCTTTTGGCTGACTTGAGTTTGTACAGCGGAACTGCAATAAAGTGCTCAGGTAAATTTGCTGTACACATTTGTGTCTGTCATTTTGTATTTGTGAATGACATTTTACAGGTACAAAACTATTAATCTGCAGCTTTTAATTTAAAACACAAGTGTTTTGATTATTGTCTGTGCGCAAATCGAGAGATTCACAAATTCACATCAGAGCTGTGATTGTAAATTTTAACCTAGACATATTATCATCCCAAGATCTCACATTAAGATTTGCAAGCTCTCAAGGTTTGCTACTGATTTATCTTCATACAGAACAAACCATTGTTATACATATGACTTGCCTAACCCTATTACCTAATTAACCTGTTTGTCACTTCAAGCTGAATACTAGTAGCTTAAAAAATATCTAGTAAAATATTTTGTACTGTCATCATGGCCAAGTTAAAGGAAACCTGTAATTAGAAATTAGTTAATGAAACTATTTTGCTTAGAAATATGTTTTCTACAATAAAAACACATTGAAGGGAAAATATGCATGGGGCTAATAATCTTGTGCTCAACTGTTTATAGCTTGTTTTCATATACAGTATAAGGCAAAATTATTAGCCCTCCCATTATTTTTTTTCTTTTTTAATTATTTCCAAAATGATGTTAAACAGAGCACAGCATTTTTCATAATATGTTCTATAATATTTTCCTTCTGGGGAAAGTCTTATTTTTTTTCTTTTATTCTAAAGGCTAGAATAAAAAGCATTTGTTTAAACCATTTTAAGGTAGATATTATTAGCCCCCTTAAACATTGTTTTGACAGTCTACAGAACAAATCATTGTTATACAATGATTTGCCTAATTACCCTAACTTGCCTAACTGACCTAATTAAACTAGTCAAGCCTTTAAATTGCACTTTAAGCTGAATACTAGTATCTTGAAAAACATACAAAGTATATAGGGGGCTAATAATCCAACAGGGCTAATAATTCTGACTTCAGGCATATGCGGTCACAGCTTATGATCATGCAAAAAAAAAAGTGGGTATCGTGGCCCACATGATTTAGCCCACATTGCATAGATGTCATTATAAACATTGAATAAGAGAAATTTAAATCGGCTGTCAATACTTGATTATACAAATAGAGAAATAATCTACTTTTTGAATCATTTGTACAGTCCTGGCATTAATTGTATGGCTTCTCCGTTATCACTTTCTATGGTTATCTTTTTTGTGTGCCTTGTCATTATTTTTATTTCTTTTTTAACAGGCAGTCTGAAAAAAAGCCGTCGCTCCTCCTACATGCTGGCCATTACTACGGAGCGATCTAAATCATGTGACGAGGGTCTGAACACTTTTAGGGAAGAAGAACGTGTTCTCTTGTAAGTGCAACACATATTAGAACAGTCAGAAGTAGAGATGTAATGATTCTTTCATCTTACTATGCTATACAATTCATAATATACAGGTTTTATGATTGAGTTTTTTTTTTTAAATATAATTTTACAATAAGATTTAAGACAAATTATAAATGGCAAAGTGTTCTTTTTATTTTCGAAACCAATTTGTTCACATTACTTAACAAAATTAAATTGAAATTTGAATTTCCCAAAACAAATAAATGAATAATACGAATAAAAAATGTCTTCATACAAGTGGTTCATATAAATGTTTTGAGAAGGTTTAATTATGTGCTTTAGTAAGTAATAGTATAGTAGCAATAAAGAAACCCTGTGCAAACACAAATTTGTGAATCCTAATGCCCCAGTATAGAGAAGGGGATGCTATACTGTCTGTGAGTGCTGCCTTTTGAATGAGATGTTAAACTGAGGTACTGACTCTCTGTAATCATTAAAAATCCTATGGCATTTTTCGTAAAGAGTAGGGGTATAACCCTGGTGTCCTGGCCAAACTCTCACCATTGGCCCTTACCCATCATGGCTTCACAGTCACCCCCAACCAAAATATAATTCAAACTTTCTAAATTGACTCAAACGAATCCAATGATCAAAAGAGAAATGTTATTTTCTCATTCTGGGAAGCATAAACTGTATCAAATATCTAAATAATTTGATCCTTAATTTTCATTATCAACCCAGAATAAACCTCACTCACTTTCCTTTGGCTTATTCCAGTCATTATTAGGGGGTTGCTACAGTACAATGTAGTGTTTTATCAATACTGAAATACCAATCTGTACCAAAATTTTAAAAACGTCCGTTTCCGCCAACATTTAGGCACTATTAAGTTCTTTCTTAAACAGTGCTGATTTTCTATTGTTTGCAATTGCTCAACAGAAATGACTGTGACTAGCTGTGAAGATCATCAGTTCAACAAACTCACCCCTGTATACTGACTGTAACAACAGATATTAGGCACTGGAGCATTTAAAATCACGAACATCAGTCGATTCATCAGTACATCACTCATATGTTAGTTTATAAACAAACCAGCTGATCTGTACAGCTTCAAAATGCTTCTGTGTCCTCATATCTGTAGTTACGCTCGGTAAACAACTGTGAGTTAGGTAAACTGATGACCTTCACAGCCAATCACAATCATTTAAAAAATTTCAGTACCGTTTTGTATCAAACTCCAGTATCGTGACACAAGTGCAATGATTTGCTGTTGTATTTTGCACTGTTGTTGTATTTGCACTGTCTGTATTTTGCACTGTCATTTTATTTGCACTGTCTGTATTTTGCCCTGTCGTTGTATTTACACTATCTTGTACTGTCTGGAGCCAGCACCTAAGCTTTTCACTCATCATAGCACACATGCTGCTAATGATGTGATAATAAAAAAAGATTTGATTTGATTACTGTGGCACATTTTAGTGGTGAAATACACTTTCTGCAACATCCCAAACCCTAGAGTGCACTTTATTTAACCCAAGTGCTGGGAAACAGTCACACTCTTTTCCATTGACCCAAACTCAAATCTAGGGACTTTTGAGGCAATTGCTATCCACTAAGTTATCTACAGTATGTAAAGTAAAATAACTCCATTTGAAATATTTACCTGTTCTATGAACTGTCATGTTGAACTGTGGCTTACAAAAATGTAGGCCCTGAAAATATAAAGCAGACAAGCAGTGTATTCTATTTTGCTTTCTCTAATTCAGCATTGTGCTTTTGTTTTGTTTTAAAGACATTTCTCATTATTTTTCTTCCATAAACTTGTTACTAAGTATATTACTTTTTATAGCTATCTATAACTTTCTGACTGCTACTGCCCATTTACAGGAAGGTCACAGACTCCCTCTTCAGGTCTTCCTGCAACAAATCACATCTCAACCAACCTATATTTCGTTAGATATTTAGAGAGATTTTCAGCCAACATGCAGTGTATTGTTACATTCCCAGACATTTCACATCACTGATCTTTGAAATAACCACTGCACATATATGCAGTTTGATGTCTCTTCTCTTAATAAGGTTATTAAGGTTCTCAATATTTAGACATTTATTCGTAGTGTGCAGTATTTATGTTCCCATTCTCACTTTTTCTCGAGGTGAATCTGCTTTATTAAAAAAGCAGATGACTATTTTAAGTTTTGAAGAGTGTTTTTTTTTTTCAGTTTTGATTCAGTTGAGAGTAATTTAGCTTTAATTTAGTTGTATATAATTAGTTTTCCACCCAACCTTAAAAGAAGTTTCAAATTTTATTTATTTAATTTTCTCGTTTTGTTTTGTTTACAGGAAACTGCCAAAAAGAGTCAAAAGCTTTTTTACAGATGATGTGAGTATGTAGCCTTCAATTACAGAAATTCTTTACTTATTAAGTGTTTGTTTGGTAACATATTTTTTTTCCAGTCTCTAGAGAGTCTTAAAGTGGCAGAAGATGCACACTCTAAACGCCACTCCACTTCTGAACTGGGAAACATCAATCTTACAGACATCAGAAAACAAGGCTGGCTGCATTATAAACAGATTCTTAATGATAAACGGAAGGTTTGACAGTAGCTTTTTAATCTTTTTTATAACGCATTCAATTACATTTTAGGTATTTACAAGCACCTCTGTTTACTTTCATTTTTCTGTATAATCTCCAGAAAGTGGGCAGTGGTATGCGGCAGTGGAAAAGAGTATTTTCTGTGCTGCACTCTAGTTTACTGTTCCTCTACAAGGATAAGCGTGAGGCGGTGCTTCATGCAACTAGGGCAGGAAGTCATGGCATTGGGCAAGAGAAGGATATTCAAACAATCAGCATTCAAGGCTGCTTGATTGACATTGCATACAGCGAGACTAAGCGTAAACACACTTTTCGGCTGATGACTCAGGACTTCTGTGAGTATCTTCTGCAGGCAGAGGACAGAGATGACATGCTGATGTGGATAAGAGTTATCAGAGAGAAAAGCAAGACCGAAAATGAGGTTTGTTAAATGAATGAATGAATGAATGAATGAATGAATGAATAAATGAATGAATGAACCGTGCCCAGGCCCGTTTCCAGAATTGTTTGAGAAGTGTGAGTGCTCTAAACCGTGCACAGCCGTTTTGAAAAAAGTGAGTGTGCTGCACTCAGCCGTACAGTGCACTTGGCCGGCCCTGGTCCGGTTGGAAGAGGTGTGCCTGAGTGCGGTTCACTTGGGCTTTGGCGTGGTACGTTTGTGTGTGAGTGCAAAATGCACTTAAGCCCGAAACTGAAAGCGAAGCGTGACTTTCAAGGGACTGTGTCATATTTTTATTAATCATTCTTACTGTTCAGTGAACTCAAACAGTTGTAGTTTATTTAAGATGCAAACCCCTTACTGAACGACAGCTGTGCACCTTCAGCAAACCTCCTAATTCCTGCAGCATGAGGACTTTATGATTGTTTATGTGCGTCAAAAGTAACTGATCTGTTCGGCGAAATATTTGAAGGCGTATCACTGTATATCAAACGACTTTAAAAGATATAACTAAAGAATTTACACTCCACTGTGCTGAGCGAGATCATTTACTGAACAGCGCAGCGTTGATGACATAAGCGTGCCCAGGCCCGGATGTAATGTGAGTGCTTGCCGTCGGGGGAGATGGGAGGGGGGACAAGCGTGGTTTGGCCCAGTTCAAGGCAACTGTACATAGTTGTGAGTACGCCCTTAAAAACTCAACTCAGAACAAGCAGTCATAAATTCAAGACAACAAAAGCATCACCAAGACCCTTGCCTGGTAGTGAGTTTGAGGTGTGAACCATCTGGTAAGGTGGAGCATCTGGCAAAGATTTTATAAAAGCCAAAAACCAAATCAACATATACAAGTGAAAAATTACCGTGAAATTAGGACCCCTTTACCAATCACACAGAGACATTTAAAATGATACTGAATAATGATACATAACATGAAAAGCTACAAGATACAACATATTAAAAATGTGCACATTTTATGTGAAATATGAGTGATCTGCTCTGATGGAGAAGGTAAAGTAAAGGTCAGGAAGGGAGGCTCAGGGTGAAAGGAGAGGAGTTAGCTTTTTTGCATTCCCACCTGGTGAGGTGTAGAGCCAACTGTCTCTGTGTTTCCAGCATGCTTTTACTGTCAAAGACATCAAAGTATCTGTGGTATCTCAAATCTTATAGTCAGGAAAGGAGGCTCACGATGATTTGAATAGAACAGTTGAACAGCTGGATTCCTGATCTTCTCAGATCAGAAAGTTTATTGTTTTAGAGCCTGACTATTCATGTGGCCTCACCTAGAATTTTCCCAACAGGTCTCGGGGTTAGATATTACGGAGCCGTACAGTAGCTACTTAAAAAGAATATGTAAAGATGCAATATAAATGGATATAATGGAAAATAACAGATTTTTCTACAACATTTTACACCCTTATAGGAACTGGGCTTCTCCAGACAGGTTCTCATCAGTAAGAAGCTGAATGACTATAAGAAACAGAGGTGATTTCTCTTGCTAATTTTATGGTATTTCTAAAACTAAGTGTAAGGTAATCCTACCTCTTTCATTTTGCAGTCCAACAAGCAACAAGCCAGATACTTCTCCTAAGATGCATCAAATGATGCCACCTTTCTTTCTCTCTAAAACTGAAAACGCATCTGCTGTAAGCAAAGCCCCAGGAAAAGGTGAACGACCTACAGGCTTTGATGCAAAATAAATAAATAAAATGTTTTTCTTTACCCACTTTCTGTTCAACATGTAGATTTTCAGATATATGTCCAATCTCTTTTTCCAACTCTAACAGATGAGAGTATTAGGGCTGCATGGGGTATTAACATCAAGAAAAAGGGAAAGAAAATGAGTCCAAAAACTTTTGGGGTGAGGCTGGAGGACTGTCTGCCTGCTGCCAGTAATAAGGTCAGTTAGACTTGTGAATTTGTTCCAATTTGCATTAATTGCAATATAGGAAATGGTTTCAGGGCCTCACATTATTTGTGAAAGCATTTTTTTCTAAACCAACTTTGTGGTACATTTGGCTATTTTTCTCATTTGAGTGCCCAATACTGCTCCATTGTCCCTTTTTCTGCCTAATCTTCTATTTTTTATGCCTCTTACAAAAGTAAATGAGAAGTAATAATAAAAGTCAATTGGGTACTGAAGTGGCTGTGAGATAATAAAAAAAAACTAAAAATCAACACAATATGCAGCATTTTGTTATGAGTTTGTTTTTGTAGTTTGTTCCACAGATTGTGGAGACTTGTTGTAGTCTGGTGGAAGAGATGGGTTTGGAATATACTGGCATATACAGAGTGCCGGGGAACAATGTCATGGTGTCTTCTCTTCAGGAACAGCTCGACAAAGGCATGGTTATAGACACTGCTGAGGAGGTGAGGTGAGAAATTAGAAAGACAAAGAATCTGAAGGGTTCAGAACAGTATTAAAACTGTTTGTTTACAGAGATGGAAAGACCTGAATGTCATCAGCAGTCTTCTGAAATCCTTCTTCAGAAAGCTTCCAGAACCTCTTTTTACAGATGGTATATACAGCTCAGCTTCCTTGTAAACTCATTTAAGCTTTTGCTTTGTGTCAGATTTAAACAAAGCTCATTGCTGCCCTCTGCCTATAGATAAATATAATGACTTCATTGATGCCAACCGTTTAGAGGATACAGGGGATCGCTTGAAGACCATGAGGAAACTTGTATGTACCGTCATACGCTAAATACAGTTTATTTTGTGATAACTTTAAAAATTTGTTGTCATGTCATTAGCTATGTTGTCTTTTAGATACGTGACCTGCCGGATCACAACTACCACACACTGAAGTTTCTTATCGGTCATCTGAAAACAGTTGCGGACCATTCAGAAAAGAATAAGGTTTGTATACTGTACTACACATACTTCTACATTCAGTTTAAAAATAAATGAGTAAATGAGTGTTCCTTCAACTGCATGCACATTAGCCAATTGGACATTCTTTACACTGACAGGTGTACACTGTTAAAAATAACTGTTTGTGCTGCCTTAAAATTTAAAGTTTATTTCACTTAAATAGTTAGGTTAAATTAAATAGTAAGGTTTAAGTTGACAGAACTTGACAATACAAGTGTAACAGACATAGTCTAAGTTTAGTAACTTAAATAGATAAGTTGTTATAATAAACGACGTTGGTAGGACTTTATGATTCAAGGAAAATGGACATGGTTTAGGTTTAGTAAACTTAAAAATGGTCTCTCATTCACGCATACTACGGCCAATTTTTGTTTATTTAATGTGCTTATACTGCATGTCTTTGTGGGAACTTGCGTGAACATGCGAAGAACATGCAAAGTCCACACAGAAATGTCAACTGGCCCAGCCAGGACTCAAACCAGCGGCCTACTTGCTGTGAGATGACAGTGCTAATGTAGCAGAGGCCAGCTAGTGAAGTGCTGTGCAGGTAAACCTCACTCCTCTGACCTCTAAAGGTGCTCTAGCAACAGACGCTGGAGGCATTGGTCTTTAGCCTCCTTGTTAGAGCAATCAACTGTTTTGCGGAAAGTTGCTGGTTAAAAACCAGCTCAGAGCAGGTTGGGTGCAGTAGGACCGGTGGGTTAAATGTGGGGGCTCGTCCAGGATGGAAGTAAGGTTTAGGGAGGTGAGTGTAGTATAGGCCAGTTAGTGAAGTGCTGTGCAGGTAAACCTCACTCCTCTGTCCTCTAAAGGTGCTCTAGCGACAGACACTAGAGGCCGTGGTCTTTAATCTCCTTGTTAGAGCAACCGACTCCCATGTGGGATCAAACCATCTGCTAATTAACCTTTAGTTTATTCATATGAAATTAGCTAAAGTTGTTTGTAAATATATTCTTAAATCATGTTATTTATGTAATGTATGAAAAAAGATATTTATGAAAATGACCAAAACTGGATTATTTTACTCATTTTCAAAACTCGTGTTTTTACAGTGTGTATTAAAGAGTTGAATTACAAAAAACCCTCAATTTATTAAAAAACAATGTTGTGGAACTTTTCATATACAGTTGAAATCAGAATTATTAGCCCCCCTGATTAAATAGTCTCCCTGTTTTTCCCCTCAAATTTCTTTTTAATGGAGAGGAGCTTTTTTTCACTACATTTCTGAACATAATAGTTTTAATTAACTTCTAATAACAAATTTATTTTATCTTTGCCAGGATGACGGTAAATAATATTTGACTTGATATTTTTCAAGACACTTCTATACAGCTTTAATTGACATTTAAATGCTTAACTAGGTTAATTGGGTTGGCTAGGCAGGTTAGGGTAATTAGACTAGTTATTGTATAATGATGATTTGTTCTGTAGACTATCAAAGAAAATATCGCTTAAAGGGTCTAATAAATTTTACCTTAAAATGGCTTTTTAAAAAATTAAAAACTGCTTTTATTCTAGCTGAAATAAAGCAAATTATACTGTCTCCAGAAGAAAAAATATTTTCAGACATACTGTAAAAATTTCCTTGCTATGTTAAACATAATTTGGGAAATATTTAAAAAAGAAAAAAATTCAAAGGGGGGCTAATAATTCTGACTTTAACTGCATGTATCAAAATTCTATCTACAAGTTAATTTATTTTGCTCATTCTAATTTTGTGTCATCTATGTCATTAATGTGGTTTTTGTGGCTAGGAGCTGCAGTTAAATAAAGGAATTAAGTTTTTATTCCATTTTTAACTTCTTTTTGCATTGTCATTTTGTCTGTTTCTGTCTATCTGTGCTGTTGTCTAATAGACCCTTTTCATGTAATGTTACGGTGTCCAGTTTGTCTCAAAGTAGTGTATCCATACTGTCGCCTACAGAACAATAAAGAATTTACCCAGTCACCTGTATATTTACTACAGATACAGTTAGATGATGATTACGGCTATTTCCTGTTGTCTGCGTTTAAAGAAAGAAATCTGGCATCTTAAGCTAGTTTACCGATCAGCGAGATTTTAGCTTGAACTGAGAAAATAGCATTTTAAAATGGAGAGCTGAAGTTGTGTTGTTTTGTGTTGCTGTCTTTATTGCAAATAAAGTTGGTATATTGTCAGCATTTGTCAAAAAAAGATTTTAGACATTTACATGGGTGCTTCACATTAAAAAATAAAAATTAAGACCTTTTTGAGATCTGAAAAGTAATAAGTGCAACTGTATGTGGATGTGCAATATCCCTCTTTGTGCTGGTACTGTGCTTGTTTGGTGGCACAGTTGTGCAGTGGGTAGTGCTGAAATAGTTTGCTGGTTCGAGCCTAGCCTGGGTTAGTTGGCATTTCTGTGTGAAGTTGCATGTTCTCCCTATTTTTGCATGGGTTTCCTCTGGCTGCTCTGGTTTTCCACACAAGTCCAAAGACATATACTATGGGTGAATTGGAAAGCTAAATTGTCCATATATGAGTGTGAATGAGAGTGTACGGGTGTTTCCCAGTGATGGGTTGCAGGTGGAAAGGCATCCGCTGCCGCTGCGTAAAACTTATGCTGGATAAGTTGGCGGTTTACTCTGCTGTGGCGACCCCTTACTTATAAAGGGACTCAGCCGAAAAGCAAATGAATGAATGAATGACTGTGCTGGTTTTAAAGCCTGCTTATCATTTATGCCCTGGTCAGTTCTCTGGCATTTTTATAAGGGTTTTTTACATTAACATATATTACTTTACAATTAACATTCATTTAAATTAAATCAAATAACATATGTTACTCTACTAATCAAATGAAATAGGCTAAGTAAAATGATTTTCTACATAAAAAGTGTATACATTTTATACATAAAAAGCATACGAAAGTGAAATTAATTAACCTGTATTTATACTTTAAAAAGTAACATTAAGACTGCATTTAATTCACTGTTATGGACCTCAGCTTTGCGGAAAGACCAAGACGGAAGAAGTGACGTCATTATGAAAAGGGTCGCCGCACTACGGAAGCGCCATCTTGTGGCTGTTACCTAAATAGCTACAGAGATGCTCTTTGACAAAAGCATTAGAAAACAAAAACCTGACAAGTGATTTGAAAAAACATATGAACAAAATCTTTAGGTGTGGTAAGCATAGTGTAGGCACAATTGTTTCCAGCTCATTAGAAAATACACACATAAAAGGTTTAATTGGTCACTTCTCTTATCGTTGCCTCAATTCTGTCATAGCTATACTTCATTATTATATTTTACTGACTAATAAACCACTAAATCGTTGCATACCTTTGAGAGTCCTGCCTTTTTGACATCATTCTATAAATAAATCTGTAAAAAATACTTACATTTTCACAATTTTAGCATAACTTTCAATTTGTTTTGTGTATTTTTGCATAATGAGATTGTTATCCTAAATGAAGTTCCTCATAATTTTCTCGCACACAAATAGTTCTAAACTTATTTGAATGTCTTTCTTCTGTTGAAAAAATACAAACAAGGTAGGCTATTCGGAAGAATGTTGAAAACCAGCAGCCATAGTAAGACCAAAAAGAAAGTCATTGGCTTATTGCTTATCACAATTCTAAGGGCCCATATGGGGGGCCCCAGAGACATTATCAAGGGCCCGCGCCAAGTGCCAACCCATATTTATGTATAAGAAGCACATGTAGGAGTACTTCCTGATATAAATGACTCTCATTTCTATCTAGATGGAGCCTAGAAATCTGGCCCTGGTGTTTGGCCCAACACTGGTGCGGACCTCAGAAGACAACATGATCGAGATGGTCACTCACATGGCAGACCGCTACAAAATCACAGAGACTCTTATCTTGCATGTAAATTCTATTATATTGCTTTCCTCCCCTGTCCTTTTTTAGATAAATCAGATAAATCAATTAAAATCCTTTAAATGTTGTTGATGGAACTGAATCTTGCAAATGAATACAAGCAAAGATATCCTAAGTATTCTTTCTTTTTTGCAGCATACATGGTTCTTCAGTGATGATCTGGATACGGATAAGGTACTTTATTATTTAATTATTTACAATTATTTATTAAAAGGGATTTCATCTTTTATCCCCAACCAGATATTTTGCTTACTCTCCCATAATCATCAGCGAAAACAAAAGATAATCACTCTTAGTTTCATTCGATTCATTCATTCTATATCTGCGAGTAAAAAGTGGACACTAAAAAGTAGACACTTGAAAATCCAAATATCAGCAAACATTGATGTTTCTCTTACAGACACCAGAGGATCAGAAGCAGAAGGAAATGCAGCCAGTTCTAAATATTGACCACCTTCTGTCTAACATTGGCAGGGTGGTGCCACTGCAAGACTTCTCAGGTTAGTGATGGTTACATGAACTTGGGCCAACTGTACGTACAGATTGCTTTTAGAAAGTTCGAAATGTGTAAATCTAGCTTGATGTCTTTGGTAAATCCTTTTTCTCAATGTATTTTTATTTTCGGACTTGAATATGGTGACACTGTAATCTCTTATTTATCTCTTTATTTTCACCTTTCCTTTCATAAACTTATGTTAATCTATTTTATATTAGTCTCTTTTTGTTAATTACTCTTTTTTTCTCTTAATCTCTCTTGAAACTCTACATTATACTGATAGCTGAGCGAATGGATCAAAGTTTGCGGTAGGCAAGGTTTTTTTTCCTTTGTATTTTTCTTTTCAAAAACATGTTTTATTTAACTTTTCTTATCTTCAGATTTGTCCAATCTTAGACATGTCATTTAACTATTACAAATCAAGAAACAAATAGTTTTATTCACAGGAGGCTTATATATTAATGGTGAAATGTGACAGTTGTTATGTTAACAATGCAATGGGAAATACTACTAAACTATTTACTATTTTTAGGTTGCACTTATGTGGGTTTTAAATGCCCCTGTGTCCTATGTCATCATTTGCATTAACTGAAGTAAAACACTGTCTTAAACAATAGTCTGAGTATTCACGAACTGATTTGGAGTAACATTAGCCTTGACTGTAACCTGTTACTGTTCCTTACAGATTCCACCAGCCGTGACTCTGCTATACCTTTAAGGTGAGAAATAATATGTAGATAAAATAAATAAGATAAAATATATAGAAGTCTAAAATTAAAGGCATGCTTCATCTTTGATACATAATTGATTTACAGTTTTTCTTGTTTGCTTTGAACTAGTTAAAGAAACTAGGTTCCACTTCATTTTTATTATCCCAGCAGAGCAGAAGACAGGTTTTGCAAATGTGTAAAGCCTTTCTCATTGGGTTGACACATTTTCTCCGCTATTTTTCAAAACAGTTAACACAAATGTCATTCAAGCAGTCCAAACTCAATTGTTTTAGTTATGGTGGTAACCAAACAGAAACCATCTATTCCAAACTATTAGAAACTACCAACATCAGTATGAAATCACTGAAGCAAACCTTATAAAAACGGTGGCAGGTCTGTGTTGTTCTGTGCCAGCATAGATGGAGGAGGTTAATAATGTCCTTTACTCCCAATAGATTTGACTGTATAACGGTTTACGGGTGTTTTCTCTGATATTGCCAGTATTTTGCTACTTTTGTCTCTTTTTTTTTTTTTTTTCTTTTACAGTATTTCGGTTTTCAGCCACAGTTTGAAAAATTTCATGAATTAAATATAAATTTAATCAAAGCATTTCTTATTCTGGATCCAATTCTTTGCTAAAAGGTAAATTTGACAGCCCAAATAGAAAGACAACAAATGACACTGGCAATAAGCTACAATGGCAAGCAATGGTGGTGCACTAAGTTCTGTATTTTGTATTATGTGTAATGATTATTTGAAAGAGCTCATATACTTGTTTGCAAGTTGTGTTGTTTGAAGGTAAAACTAGCTTTTGTTTAATAATTTAAATGTTTTGATGCAATATTTGCCTTTTGCAAGCAAAATGTGTCATTTTGACCATGAGTGCCGCTGTTTAGGCCTGTGTGTTAACTCTTATGAAAATGTGGAGTTTTAGTTGACAACTGAAAAAATTCTGAAAAATGTGCGTGCTTGTGTAAACATTTAGCATAAACAGCATATATATATATATATATATATATATATATATATATATATATATATATATATATATATATATATATATATATATATATAAAGAGGAGAGGGAGAGAGAGAGAGAGAGAGAGAGAGAGAGAGAGAGAGAGAGAGAGAGAGATACTGTAAAGGTATAAAGGTTATACTGTATTTGAAACATCCAAAAGGAAAGGAGAAAAATAGAGATTAGACTATAGGGAGGAAAGTTACAGGGTATACTTACAATCATTTTGGTTTTAATATATTTCTTAAATCTTAAAAAAAGTGTTCACTTTTGAATGGTACATATTTTTTTCAATATTATTCGTGTGTAGAGATTCAGCAATAGGTTCACCAGAATGTTTTTCCAAACTTTTATTCTTGTACAATATGAACGTATTTAGCAATTTTTTTTTTTTTTGGTAATTTTTGTTTTGTTTGTTTAATCAAATATTATATATTTCATAAATATTGGTTAAATACAGTAACAGGGGAAAAAAAAAACCACATAATGTATGTCATCCTTGTCATGACAGCATGTAATAAATGAGAATAAAGTGTGTCATCATTAAAGGAGTTCACAGCTGATTTTGAGCAACTGCCGAGCTGATCTGGGTGCCTGCTCTCGTTTTTGCTCTGGCAGTACTTTTATGGTACTTGTGATTGTAAAGTGGCTGCAGTGCTCATCAATGTCAGACAGATTGTCTAACGAGAATGCCGTTGTTAGGCGGCAGCTTTTTTTTGTAGTGCAGCATGCCTGCAACAATGGCCACTAACATACGACTAATCAGCATTATATCACTAGCATTAATGTTGTTATTGTTACAACTTAAAAGATTGCTGCTGACCTTGCTAGCTAGCTAACCCATTACAATATTGCACATTCCACTATTGCAGTGTTGCCATTTGGCAACACATATATTTGATTCATTTACAAAAATTTCATTTTATTACAACTTTTTTGAATGGCGAATATGTCATCATAACATAACAGAGGTGATGTCAATTTTTTTTTTTTTTCGTGTGTGGATGTGACAAGTTAATCCATTGGGTTTTTTGTTTTGTTTTGTTTTTGTTTAGTTTAGTTTGCATTTAGCAATAACTCACAATAGATGTCAGTCTGTCAGAAAACACACCAACGCAAAACAATTAGAATGTTTGTCTTAAAGAAACAGTAGCAGGAAAATGAACATAAAGAGCAACACTGGTAGAGGGTTAAAGAGCTTTAATGGATAACATCTTTAGAAATATAAATATATTACATTTAAATTCAAACAAGTTATTGGGAAAAAAAATATATATATATAAACTAAAAATTTTCAAATTAGTTTAATAATTTTTAAGTTGAGTACCTTGATTTTTGATTATTTTTTTATTGAATATTTTACCCCAACATACATGTGGGGTACAACATACATACGTGTATTCATTTTTGCATTGTGATCATAAGCTGTTTTGTCAGATTACAGTTGTGGCGTTGGTATTTACTAATCTATATTAACAAATATATTATTGTATAAATAAATAAATATAAATAAATGTGCATATACTGTAGAAATGGATAGATAGCTATTGAAAATTACTAAAGCATATAGATATGACAATAAATAAGGATACATATGAATACACATACAGAAAATAGTACAAAAACTTAACTAAGTTTTCTCAATTAACAAAGCAAGTCAATTAAATAGACTTTGTCAATCCTATCAAACATAAAATGAAATTAAAACCATTGACACGCACGCACCCTTGATTTGCAGGCTAGCACAGAAGCTCCATTGAATATACTGGGATAAAATAAATGTTCATATTTTAAAGACATGGCGGGGAAAATCTTAATTTAATGCAGTGCTTCTTGTACATTCCGAAACCCACTTTATATCGGATAGCACTCAGCTAGTGGAGATGGCTGATTTATAAAGAAAACAGACTTTAAACGTTCCCATTTTGTAATGGCATACATTTCACCTGAGGCGCTTGACCCAGGTTACTGACAAATTAAAAGTCCTCCTGCATACTTCCGCATATACACTTTTAAAAATTCTGTCAACAATACATCACCCTCATGTTACACGAAATCTCTGTCCATCCTTTGAGCATATCATTAAAGATATTTTAAATAAACCAAGAATTTCCTGTCAGTCCATTAATAGTACTTTTGACTTTGAAAGCCTAGAAAATATATGTGTATATGGCACTTTTAAAATAACAATATACAATATTTTATAAAACAACCGAAATATGTTTTTCTACACTGAAAAAATAGCCAAACAAAAACAAATAGAATGACCTTAATGTGGCTTTATAAGAGATGCCTCTTTTAATAAAAACTGTTTTGTTTAAAAAATTGTCCAAAATATTGTCTATATTCATGTTCATGACAATTATAATAGCCTTATAGCAACCATGTTTATGACAGATTTATGACAAGGTATGTTGTTTTGATGTCAGGATGTCATGTATTATGATGTATTTGTTTTACTACTGTCAAACAATTAATCTTGATTATTCACATCCAAAATAAAAGTTCGTAATTACTTTAATTAGAGTATGAGTAATACTAATATTATAATACTAGTGGAACTACAACAAATCATAATTATATAAGCAGATACTACAGAATAGAATATAGAGGCAATAAATAGTGTGTAGTGAATAGTACAGTAATATAATAACATAACTATACTATATACAGTAGCATAATAATTGTTATACAATATCCATCAAGCAATGTATTGGATATTTAATCAAAATCAGAAGGAAGACAGTCACCACTAATAATGAAAAAAAAAAAAACCCATTGACAATGCTAACCAAATGATGATAATACAAGTTTACTAACAAAGAAAATGTATTTATATATTTGTGAAAGTAACTTTTCACTTTTACATCATTTTACATTAATCTAGACATCTCAAGTACTGAAGCTTTACCAGGCAGGTTTCTTGAAGATGTTCTTCTAGATTTAATCTGTCTCATGTTTGCTGTTTTTGTGAGGTCTCTGCATGTCAAATTAGCTGCTGTCAGACTCCTCTTGCAAACAAAAACCACACTGCATCAATACAATTGTTAAAAAATTGAAATGTAAACTGATATTTCCCAATGACACACTATGCTTAAAGATAGAAATAAACAACTTCAAATCATTTTAGGTAAAAATTATTGCTTTCTAATATTTTGGCTTCTAATCAACAACACACTAGTAATTAATAGCAAATACTAGAATATTTTTAAATAATACTATGGTAAATTACTTCAATTAATCTGTTGTGGTGGTCCCATAGTTGCTATGGTAACACAGCCAACATTCCAACATCAATGGCTGCTGTAGTAAAAACTAAAGTATACTGCAGCATTCATTACAGATATCAGATCTCTGTATGCTGTAGCATTCATTAAAGGGTTGTACTGTTTATAGTGCAATACACTTATGGTTCAATAACACTGTAGCATTTACTATAAACTTCTATTGTATTTTTTTATGTGGGCTATATGACATTATTTTGGTGCAGTGCTGATGCCCATGATTTCCTAATAGTGTTTCTCAACCACATTCCTGGGCCACTAACTTTGCATGTTTCGGACGTCTCCTTTGGCTGTCACACCCATTAAAGGTTTTTCAGTTTCCGCTTATGAACTGACGATCTGAATTAGTTGTGTTTGGTTAAGGAGACCTGGAAAATGTGCAGAGCTGGTGGTCCTCCAGGAACAGGGTTGAGACACACTGTCACAAAGAAACACAGTGTCACAACAAATGCACAGTGTATGAATGTGCTTTGAGGTGTGAATATTAGCTAAACTAACTGCTTCTTTTCTTTAAACAGACTTAATATTTATCTGTTTAAGAAGGCGAGAGTCATAAAACAAAGACAAATAGCATAATTTAACCTTTCAGAACTGTTTTTGAAAGGTTAACTAAAACGCTGAATTGTTTTTTCTATCGAAAATCTCATTTTCGAACCTTTATTCTAATCTTTCAATCTTATAATCTTTGCTTTTTCCACACTTAAATGTTACTTCTTCTGTTACAGGGAACTTCCAAGAAAGATCTTAGTGCCAAGAACTTCCTTTCCCTGTCTGACATATCAGCCATAACCTGGAAGAAAAAGAAACACCAGAGCAGCTGTCCTGCAGACAGCAGTGCAGATGAAGACTCTGAACATGAGCCAATCAAAACCAGCGATTATGAGGAAATGAGTGACAACAGAATGGTTGAAACACGACAAAAAAGACACAGATCCTGAAAATTAGAAAAAAAACGAGAAGGTCAGCAAGATGGGATAAAATCAGGACAGGTGGATAAAGACGAATATAAAAAACAAGGAGGATTAAGAAGAACATTATTTTACAGATAAGGAAGCATCAAATGGGTCATATTCAGTTTCAGTAGCTGTCTGTATTCAGGCAACAGCTACCTGAGATAAGACCATCACCACAGCCAACCATTTCTTCTTCCCCCAACTACTCCAATACAACACAGCCCTCAAATATCTCACACAGTCTCTCACAAAATAAATAGAGACAATATGTGAAAGTATTCCAAACAATGATTCTGCCATAGAAGGGATGAAGTTCAGACAGTACGGTAAGCTGAGGATAGCGTTCCTGATTTATTTTATTTTTCCATCTCATTTTTATTTATTAATGTTTTTACCATGTCAGTGATCCCTGAATTAACCTTTGTCCTCTTGAGTAAATCATGTCATTCTTCTCTACATGTGGATGCTGCTCTTCATTAACATGGCCTTCAGTGTTGTTGTGTCCAGCTGCTTTTCTTTAGTGCAGGCTGACTCTCTTTCATATGACCTATTGCTGTCACCATGTTCTTCTTGAGCAGTTTTTGCAAATAATCTCGTTGCTAGATTGAGAACCAAAAAAGTTCCTCTTCCTGGGCTTCCTTCTTCTGTTGAACACAGAATAAGATATTCTGAAGAATGTTCAATATATATTTTTTATTTTAAAGTTTATTATTGTTTGGGAAAAACTTAAAACAGGTTTGGAAAAAGTGGAGGATGAGGAAATGATGACAGAATGTCTTTTTTTAACGCACTGAAAAATTAATCCAGTCCTTTAGTGCTCCTTTTTTTTTTAATTAACATAAATATTATTGACCCTCTTAAGCAATTGTTTTCAATCAGCTACAGAGTAAACCATTGTTATACAATGACTTGCCTAGTTACCCTAGCTTGCCAAGTTAATTTAATTAACCAAGCATTAAATTGCACTTCAAGCTGAATATGGGTATCTTGTAAAATAGTATGTACTTTCATCATGGCAAAGATAAATAAATCGGGTATTAGAATTAAGTTATTCAAACTATTATGTTTAGAAGTGTGTTAAACAGGACTTGGGGGAAAATATTTAAATAATTAAAATTTATCAAGAATGCTAATAATCTGACTTCAAATATGTATGTTTTTATATATAACTGTCAACTGTATGAGGTGACAAAATAGGTTTTTAAAAGCACTTGCATGTAACAGTGTGGATTCAGAGTCATATTATATAATATAGCCTACTTCATATTGTATGGTGGTGTTGTCCTGACTGTACAGGTTTCTACCTAAGTAACTTGTACCCTATGCCTTTTTATTACCTACTTGAGTATGGATGTCAAACTCACTTCCCTGCACAGTTCAGTTCCAATCCTGCTTCAACAATTAAGCCTCGGTCACACTACACTGTTCACCCCATAGACTTACATTCATACACTTGCGAATGTGGTAGACAGGAAAAGCAAGTTCATGTGACAGGTTTCCCAGTTTGCTGTGTTGCAAGGTTCAAGCTTTGTGAACTCTGACCTGCGAAATAGCATCACGTCACTGTGAAACCAATGGAAGATCAAAACATGACCTCACTGTACAGACATTTAAATTATGGAGCAACCGCTCACTTTTTTTAATGTCTAATCATTTTATTTAATCCTGTCTCTTTTTAATAGTGCCGTATGACAGAACTTTGCATTGTCAACTGGAGTGTGACTCCAGGCATTACCTATTTAAAACAAGCCTGTAGGACTCAATTTGTTTGATCAGGTGTTTAATTAGGGTTGGAACTAAACTGTGCAGAGCTGCGGCCCTCTAGTAACTGAGTTTGACACCTGTGTACTAGAGCAGGGGTGATTTTCTTAAAGTGGCCAATGGGCCGAAGGTAAATATAGTTGCCATGGTAATTTCCTTATTTATTTATTATTCAAAAATAACTAAAAAACATTGCTATATATTACCTAAAACAATATATATATATATATATATATATATATATATATATATATATATATATATATATATATATATAATACTCACCTTATTACGGTAAAAACTAAAATTCTAATTTATAACAGTATATAGTTACACTTTTGCCTTGATTTGGTCCCCTATGTCTTCTGCTTAGTCGAGTGACAGCATTTACATTTTAAAACAGATTCATTTATATTTAATTGACACATGTAATTTCAATTAGCTTTTTTTATAGCGAAATAAAACAAACAAAAAATGGTTAGGTCAAGTTAGAAATGACAATCTCTGTTAAAGAGATTGCCCAAATCCTTACTAGCATCCTCAGATGGGATGGTGAGCAAAATCAAAGGTTACAATGGGCCAACTTTGACCCGCGGGCCAGATTTTGAGCATCTAAAGGGTCAAATGTCATGTGCAGAACATAAATGTCACATTGCTGTAGGTTAAAACCGGTCTCTCAAAGGGAAAATAAATAAAGTGTTTAACACAAACTCATAAAGAAGTTATTAGACTGTTCAAAAAAAGATTGTGGTCTGAAGCAGTTTTATTAAAAAACAAATACCTGCCTGGTACCCGTTATTCATCGCTTTACATTTCCATTCGTTTCAAAAATATATATTGATGTCTTTTGAGATGCTATAGCTGTTGTCATGGTATACCAACTCTCTGTGCTTCGTCCTCTACTGCCTACTTGACATGTGTCACTGAGATGACTGCTGAACCTTTTTAAGCTATGAACCTGTTTGAAATCCTGTGCATGCACATGAGGATTATGGGTGATTGTGAAAACCCACTTTTGCAACAAACATACAAAACTTTAATTAAATATGTACTGTTTTTTATATATATATATATATATATATATATATATATATATATATATAGAGAGAGAGAGAGAGAGAGAGAGAGAGAGAGAGAAAGAGAAAGAGAGAATCAACATTTGAAGTGGATCAAAACCTTTCATTAAAGTAGTCTCAACAATCATTCTTGACTTTTTAAACTTAAAAAAATTAAACACTTTATTTGATCTATTTCTAATTTTATCTGTACATTTTGTATATGTTTTTTTTTTTTTTTTTTTTTGTGGCAAGTCTAAAAACCTTTGTGCTGTTAATGAATAATTCTGTGAAAAAGCCTGCATCATAATAAAAGGATTTTGGTTAATCAACATGTGATGTTAACCTTTGTGACACAGCTTACCTTTACAACGTTTGCTATTTTAACTTAAAGGCATAGCTCTCCCAAAACTGAAAATGGTCTCATTTACTTATCCGCCACTTGTTCCAAACCGGTTTCACTTTCTTCTGTTGAACACAAAAATATAATATTCTAAAAAAATAAATAAATAAAACCGTAACCAATGACATCCATTGTATTGGTTTCGACTATTCAAGCCAGTAATTACAGGTTTGTAGCTTTCGTCAGTGTTCAGCAGAAGACTTGTAATGACTTGAGGGCGAGTAAATTTTCAATTTTGGTTGAACTATACCTTTAAAGATCAAGCTTCTCCAGAGCTGTAGGGCCACACGGGATCAGCACACAGACATTTGCAGATATTTAGCCCATCATAGATTCTATTTACTAATGTAAATGCATGTAAATTAATATAATATTCCTACTGTTTTATTAATTTCAGTAATATTGACTTTACAAATAGGATTTGTGTGCAATACAGTTTGTAAAGTAATAATGATGTCTTGTATTAGATATGAGACTTGCATTTACCAAACAAGTGGTTCTAATTGAATTGACATCACTTTTAAGAACTGTTTTCTTCATGCGTGGATACTACTCTCAAACTCGTTCCACATAATAAATGATAACATGCGAACACATACACAAATCTTCTGCACAGAACTGGCACAAATTCACATATTCTGACTGACTGTAGTACGAGTTACAATTTCACGTTTTGAAACCCAAGACTTAAAATTGTGTACCGATATTAATATCCAAAATTTGGCAAATGTATGCACTTACGTTTTATTGGTTCAACATTCGTCTCCTTTTTTTAAGATTGTTGATTGGGCGTGTCAATAGAATTATCAAAAATAAAAAAAGCTTCTGTAAACACTGACAAGCAATTGAATTGGAATTAAAATATGAAATTAATTTAATTAACAATATATTTGGGCAAAACAACATTAACGGTTTTCCACCGTTTACAACAATATCTTCCATGCATTAACACACTGTATCAGAGATGAATCTGAAACGCTATATTTGTTTCGGAGTGAAAGGCGCTATTAAACATTCAGTTATGGCAAGGTAACAAAACACCAGAAGTTAGCGGAGATGTAAGTTACTTGTAACTGCAGCAAAAACTGGCGCAACAACAAAAAGTGCTCAGTTTTGACCGTTTTTAATCCTTACAAATGGAAAGCAGGTTAACGTACTCGTTTTATCAGCTCAATTGTACAAATAACGAACGTATATTTAAGTGGACTGACCAAGAATTATGGGCACAAGAAGAATAGTTGTCAAAAAAAGAGAAAGAAAAAAAACTTATGACAAAGGCCGAGAGAGTATTGTTACAACAGACATGAAATTTACAGAAACGGTGTCAATTTCCGTGTAAAAACGGAAAAACGATTCAGCTCGGCTGAGACTGATTGAGTCCTGGCTCATTACTTGCGGGCGTTTTTAGTAATAACTCGTTATTCTCGGCCCTCAGTTTCTCCACTTCAACCTCCAGTTCTCGCACGCGCTGGGAGCCAGTCCCGTCAGCAGGGGACTCGGGGTTTCTCCGGACGTGGCGAAGCCAGTTGTTCTCCTCTTCTAACCGCGACATGCACTTCTCCAGCTCCAGGTATTCCCGAACTAGTTCTTGTTTAGACATATTCTGAAGCGCCTCTACATGGTACTTCTCATAGGTCTCAGAAAAGTCCTTCTGCAAAAACTCCCCACCTGCTTGCCCTGGTCTTCCCATACCGTCGCTACCTCCGCCGCCTTCCTCCTCGTCGTCCTCTTCAGCCTCGAAATTCTCGTCCTCACTGGCCGTGTCCTCGGAGCGGATTGCCCCGGATTTTCGACCTCCCAGCTCAGTGTTGAGATCGGGTTCTTCACGGTCGTGCTCCTCCATTAAGAACTGGGTGGTGTTGTACGGTGCGACGGGGAGACCTTTAGCGAACATTTCGGCGCGCACTCGCGACGCCCGCGCGGTCTCGCGTTCATCCAGCTCTTTTTTCTCCTCCCATGTCAGTTTAAAATACGGCTTCCAGCGGCGCTTCTTCTTGGAGGGTCGCCGTCTGTGTTTCTTTTTGCCCTGGCGGCCATCAGACACCCCATCGGTGTTTACTGCCGCGCATTCAGAGTCTCTCTTACTACTCGTTTTGTCTGCAGGAAACCCGTCGTCACTTGCTGCATCGCCAGTCCTGGGCTCAGGATCACTCCGATCCCGACACATTGGATGCACATCTCCTGACACCAAACCAGGACAAATCTCAAACTGATTTCTTTGCACTTGTTTCGAGGAGACAACACTCGTCCGATAATCTCTCTGCCGCCCCCTGCTGTCATCCTCCGGTGCAGTTTCTTCTTTAATAAGCTCCATAACTGCACACTCCCACCTGAAGGAGATACAAGTTTCTGATCAGTCAGATGGGGATACAATCGTATGTTAAACTGTGATATGAAAGAAAAGAAACTTTATAAACACTATCATTTTAAACAACGCACAAAACACCCAAGAGGGAAAAAGTCAGTGTTTACTCATAAAGTGCACTGTTTAAACATAAGAAACAGCATTAACAAACACGCACAAGTTATATTTCAGTTAACTTACCGTTTAACTCAAATCTCGTGTTTGAGTTGATATGCTATATGATACTGTTGATTTTAACTATTTACGTTCCCTCTACTATTTAACGCTGTCTCAACGAATACAAGAGCATCTCCCTCCAAGTCAATCTCCAATTCGCTTCTGCTTCGGAGAGGAGTGGAGCTTGTGAATTTATTGCCTCCCCCACGTAAAAGCGCATGCGGCCAGCCCTACAGTTTTCTCGTGTTTTGTGGGACTTGAAGTCCCACGAAGCATTGCGCACGACCACATCTCTGCCACGAAACCTCCATTACCCACAATTCAACAATAGTTTTCTGCCCAGGCCGGGATACACCCACTAATCCTTTTCATTGGATACAAAGTTTTTTGTCCGTCTGCTGGCCAATTAAAGCATTATGATTGGTGGTTTTAGTTGTCAATCAAAAAGAAAGCTGTCCCGGCCACTCTAGCGGACACTACCAAACGTAGCCGAAGCGGGTAGAAACATCCGCTTCATTCTATAACATAATAAACATTCACAGATTTACAAATGAGTAACACGGTAAATTATGTTGAAGCCATTTTGTATTTTAAAAACCGCACAAATTTCATATTATCTGTCGTGCTTAGTTATTTAGCATATGTGTGCTAACATGAAACACCCTGCGCCCTTGTGACGATTGCTCACACCTCACGCATAAAGTAGTTCTTCTTTCAACATAAGTGTATTTTCTCAATTCAAACGTAATAAAGATACAGTCGAGGTGACGTTGCGATTTATAATTACCGAAATATGCGTCCCTTGTTCAGGTTAAATAATGCATATCCAAACAAAACATTACTGACTTGTTTCTTGCTTGTAATCTAAAGACAACATTGTTTTGCTAACCAGATGTAGGGTAATGGAGTGTGGATTAACATAAACGAGAGCACAAACAAGCTTGTAAAAACTAAGACCAACAGTTAGCCTTTTTGGGGGTCGAAATAATGTCATATTATGTATAGAGATGGCAAGAAACAGAATTTACCCTGTAGTGACATATTGAGATACATTTAGTGGCCATTGGCTAGCTATCAAGTACTAGTGTTAAAATGCAAATACAATAACGCTATTCTGCTGAGTCGGTGTGAAAACATTCGTGCGTTGTCTCTTTTCTAATTGAACTGCGCATTCGTTTGAGGTTTAGAAGTACGTTTTGCCAGTTGGGCATTAAGTTGTGCTAGGGAAGTTAGCATAGCCGCTTCACATTTATAAAAAGAACCAAAGGGAAGCAAAACATAAGGCCGACGCGGTAGCTTTTTTCCGAATGCTTGTTGGTCTGCAAACGACTACTTTTCGTCGAAAACGAGTAAAAATACAGTTCCCAGCACGTATGTCTCAGCTCACGATCTTAGCAGTGCTATGAAATGGTGATGTATTTTTATAAGGAATTTTGTAGGGTGACTACTGTCGTACGAGTTGACCCAGATGAATATTTACAAAATGAAACGGTAGCTTCTGAAAAAATGCCTTATGCATACATTTACTCCCATAGAGCCCACTAAACGAATTTAGCCATTTGCACTAATTATAAATTATAGCTATGCAAAACAAACCAGCAAAATAAGCTGCTTCATAGCCTTCATGCTCAATCTGATTAAAGTGTTTTTACTATATATATATATATATATATATATATATATATATATATATATATATATATATATATATATATATATATATATAAGTGTGTGTGTGTGTGTTTACAGGAGCTTTGTGCATTTGTATCCTGTGATTTTACATGTAAAGAAAACATCTTGCTGGTACTTTTCTGTGATAATACAATTACAACTGTGGTGTATTTTATTTTATGATTATTATATTTTGAATTACTGTTATTATTGTCAGTACAGTAGACTACACCTGACAGCCTTTAAGTAGGATCAGCAGAACTGTAATGCATCATTGTGGGGAAGATCACATTTACAAAGTCAATTTTAAAAATAAGACAAAGCACAAGGATTAAAATTTACAGTAAACTTATATTGAAAACACAATAGTATGGATATCATACATTTTTTAGACAAATGATTACAAACAACCATTTTTATCCAAAAATAAATGGAACACGTTGAAATATTCACAATCAATGCTAGGACCTAAACTTGGTTCATCAACTTGTTCATAAAAAATTAAGTGATCTAATTTCGAACATAGGATTTTAGAACATTTCTTCTTTTACCTGAGACTGAGAAGTGGCAATTAAATATGTGATCCTTGTAGCTTGACTATTTATTAAATTCATATGCACCCATGAATTTGTCTCTTCTTCCATCTCAGGAGAAAACTCAGCCACTGTGTCACAAAAGGCCACACCAACAACAGCATCAATGTGCGTCCAGAGATTTCAAATGGCCACCATTTCTCCTGAGAAAAAAGAAATTGAATTATTAAATATATTTATTTCCCACAAATATTTGTTAGAAAATACATAGTATGTATTGCCAAAAGACTTGGGACATTTGCATATGTTGATGCAGATAAATTATAATGAATAATGATGTCCCAATCTTAATCCGTAACAACGTCAACTCTTCTGGGAGGACATTCCACAAGGTTTAAGTGTTTGTTTACTGGAATTTCTGACCATTCTTTACAAGCGCATTTGTGATGTCTGGCATTTATTTTGGATGTCTTCACTCTAATTCCGCCCAAAGGTGTTTTTATTGTTGAGGTCAGGACTCAGTGCAGGTCAGTCAAGTTCCTCCACACCAAACTCGTTCATCCATGTCTTTATGGACCTTACTTTATGCACTGGTGTACAGTCATGTTGGAGGAGGATGTTTTGCATTGTACTTGATTTAAAATTTGAAAGCAGCTGCTCGGACATTAAAGATCCTGTATTATGGGTTTTTGAAAAATACCTTCCATGGAGTGTAAAGCACAACTGTAAGTGAATGAAAACATCTAGCTGAAGAATAAATCTGAAAGTGCACCTTTTTTAAAAATATAGATAAAAAAAAAAGTCAACTCAGAAAATCATTTGTGTATGGGACTTTGTGGATTGTATTGTATCTGGTTAACTCTTTACACTCACATATTGTGTCTAAAACCAAGTTGAAAACACAACACATGCCATTTTCTTTACTGATTTAAATGCGTTTGTGAGCTTGCAATCCCCTGTCGCTAGTCATTGCTATTGGCAATCATCTATCAAAATAGTTCAACTTTTGTCACTGTGTAGATTAATAATGTATATGTGTCGTTGTTATCACTTATGGTTAAGAATAGAGCAATATGCTGGTGTTAAACTGCATTGCTTTAATGCACTCCTGCATTGGGCTCACACATATCCTCTGCACTCTGGCTACTTCAACAATGTTGGTAAGCCACGGTGGGCATTTCTTTCCATCTTGCGCTAAACAGAGTTGACCAATCACAACAAACTGGGTTATCAGACCAGTCACTGCAGATTAGCGTCACGCAAAGGAGGAGTTTGGGAACAAATAAATCACTGAACAAATCATATGCGAGTTGCTGGGATAAGTAAGTAAAAAAATAAATGCATATCATAAGACAATTTTTGTCACCTTGCATGCATAGCAGCCTGTTGTTGCGAGAACGCTAAAACCCAAATGTGGCCTTTTATAATGCATAATAGGATCTCAAATACCCAATGCATAAAAATCACTCTCTAAGTAGTGTTATTGAGTTAATCAACAAAAGGTTGGACCTGTGCTGACCATACTCTGTGATTTTACGTGGCTTACCATTTCATGGCTGAGTTGCTTCCACTTAGTTATAATACAACTTCCATCTGTTATTACTTATTACACAGGAAACATTCTTCAATAAATGTTTGTCTGGTTTTATATATAGCGAGAAAATGAGTATTAACACATCACCATTTTTCTCAGACAACATATTTCTAAAGGTGCCATTGATTAGAAATTCAGTACTTTCTCCTTGTGTTGTTTCATTATTATTACACATAACTAATTTTTCAGATTTTTTTGTTTTGTTTTATTTTTATGTTTATATTGTTTGGGTTTTTACCAAAATCTGCTTCAATCCCATGCCAACAGCTTCTTAAGAAATATCATTCCCAAGAAAAAATCATGATGTGTTCAATGCTTATTTTGCCCACTGTACACGTGGCCATGGAGGAGATTGGAACAACTTAGTTCAATAAACTGGAGTGGTGTCCCAAAACTTTTGGCAATGTTGGACTTTGGAGTCATTGTTTGTACGTAAAAGCACATGACAAAACTGATTTCAGACATGTATTTTCAGACATTTTAATCATTCATTTGGATCACTGCCTTCTTTCGAAAACAGTAGCTAGTATAAATGAGTAGCTGCGACAAGCAGCAATACCTTGAGACTCATAGGAAAACCATCACAAATTGTACCTCAGACTCTCCAGCTGTCCGTTGTAAATGTGATATCCAATGTGAATTCTGAGCCTTAAAATACAAATACAAATATAGTTGAAGAAAATGGAATGAATATAATAAACATGAAAATAATAGAGGTAATTTAATTTATTACTTTCAAAATTAATTTAGCTATATATATGTACACACACACACACTTAATAAAATATATATTTGTCAACAACTCAGTGAATATAGGCAATACATTTTGTTGCACTTTTAACAATTTAAAAACAAATTTATTAACATTATTTTAGTTCAAATAAGTGTTTGAACCAAGGTAACCAAACAAATGAGGTATTGCCAAAAGATCTATTGCAAAACAAAAAGTACAAACTACAAAATTACAGCAAAATGTTCTATTTTTAATGTTTCTCTTGATTTTTCCTGTTCATTAAAATTTTATTTCATATTATTCCCTAACATATTTATTTGGGCATACTATTTGTTGGACCTTTGTGATCTTAAGGTGTGTGTGTGTGTGTGTGTGTGTGTGTGTGTGTGTGTGAGTGTATATATATAAGTATATATATACTGTATGTTATTGTAAAACATCATATAGAGAATATAAACTTAAAAGAGATCTGTGAGGGGTTTACTCTCACACACACACACACACACACACACACACACACACACACACACACACACACACACACACACACACACACACACACACGCACACACACATCATAAAGCTTATCGCTGTGGCTTTAAACCTTTAAGATTTTCTTTATTCTGGTAAAAACAAAAGAAGGTAATGATTGCTTGTTGCTAAGTTTTCAGAATCATAGCTAGTAAAGTAAATCACCTATAGTTCTGTCTGTGTTCTGTGAAAGCCTATTTTGTTTAGACAAATAGCATGTACAATTTTAGCTTAATTTTTAAAATTTTCTTACATTTGCAGTTGCAAGACTTTCAACCACATCTAGTCGTTCCATGACACTTTGCATGTCCTCTCGGAGTTTCCGTAGGGCTAGAAAAATCTGCTGTTGTAACCGGCCAGACCCACTTTTAGAATTGTCTCTGTCCCCTTGCCCTGAGCCAGCTGCTGATAGCCGTCCAGCACTGTGGTGAGCCATGAAACCTGCAAAAAAGCACATTGTTATTCATTTATTAGGACTGTGCAGCGAAAAATTTATCTTATTAATAGCAAGGAGGTTAAATAAACAGACATTACCAAAAACAGCTTGAATTACAATTTTCATTGAACATATTGTGATGTGTCTGAGTTGTGATGTTCATCTCTTTCTGGTGAATTTAGCAAGACCCCCTATGCCTGACATACTGTACTTCCACAGCAAAGAGGACAGTGTTTTCTTTAAAAAATTAAATAAATATATACTTTATACCTTAAAGGTGCCATACACAGGGAAACACCCACACACTCTTTCACAAACATACACTATGGCCAATTTAGCTTATTCAATTCACCTATACTGCATGTCTTTGGACTGTGGGGGAAACGGGAGCACCCGGAGGAAACCCACACGTACATGGGGAGAAAATGCGAACTCCACACAAAATGTGAACTGACCCAGCTGGTGCTCGAACCAGCAACCTTCTTGCTGTGAGGCGATCTAGCTACCCACTGTGCCACCGTGATGCCTCTGCTAACGTATAACTCCATAAATTAGCCCTAGAATCAGAAGGTCCATAAATTGACCATATTTGGATTGGTTATGAATATTAATGAGCTCCGCTTTGATATGCAGCTCTCACAGAAACATACACACAGCATGATGGACAGTATATTGAACATGGGCAACATAATCTACAGCGAACAGTGTGTGTCAGATGCTCATATGTTCAGAAACACATGGGTCACACTCTGAACCACCCTAACAGGAATTATGCATTATATTGGTAACTATTTATTACTCTAATAATTTTTAGTGGAGTGTGACAATATAATTTATGCAACAGAGTTTAAAGCCTAGTGACAGCAGCAGTTGGACCTCACAATTAACTCCCCTTTATCTGGTTTTTAAACCTTTATGAGTTTCTTTGTTTTGTTAAACACAAAATGATATATTGTGAAAAATTCTGGGTGATAGTATATATTGACTTTCACAGTAGGAAAAAACACTATGGATGTCAATGGGTGCCATCACCCAGCGACCTTCGAATTTCTTTTGTGCAACAGAAAAAACCCAAATAGGTTTTAAAACAGATTTAATGCCTGAAGCAATCAATTGAAAAAGAAAAGCACACTTTAATTATTTCATATTTTACCATGATGATTAATAATTGAGTTAAACAGTTATATGATCAATGGGGACATTTGTTAATGCAATATTGTTTGCATATTGATTGGGATTTTTAAAAAATTGCAAAAAATCAAAAATATGAAATTTGCTGATTTTCTTCAACTTTTATTTAATTGTCGAAAGTACAAAGAAACATTTCTAGAATTTTTTGCGAGTTAAAAAAATAGTAAGTAATAAAAATATTAATTAATTGTATTTTGGAAATTTTAACAAATTTGCAATATATTGCATGTAAAATGCCTGCAACAAATTTTTAAAAAAGTTGGGACAGAGGCATGTTTAACATTGTGTTACATTCACTTCCCTTTAAATACAATGTTTAATCATCTGGAAATTGATGATACAATTTATAAAAGTTTCACGAGCAAAAGAAACCCACAGAAACAACATGGAAACTCCACACAAAAATGCCAACTGACCCAGCCAAGATTCAAACTAACAACCTTCTTGCTGTGAGGCAACAGTGCTAACCACTGAGCTTCCATGCTAAGGTGGGGATAGTGAGGCCTCATCTGACTGGTCAAATTTAGATAAACAACCAATGCATGAAACAAACAAATGCTTTGCATATAAAATTTATTATCACACATCTATGACAGAAATATTACAAATACTGTTATGGTGATACATATAACGATAACAATAGTTTTGCAATATATGGTGCAACCCTACTCAAAGGGGACTTATTATGCCCCTTTTTACAAGATATAAAAGAAGTCTCTGATGTCCTCTGTGTATGTGCATTTTCAGCTCAAACTTCCACAAAATAATGTTTTATATCGCTTTGAAACTGCCCGTGTTGGGCTTAGATCCAGCCATTTTGGTGACTGTCGCTTTAAATTTAAATGAGATTGGGCTCTTTTCAAAAAAAGCTTCGGTTTCATGCAGTGCAATCTGAGGCTCATAGGTAGCGGAAGGTTCATTTCTGGATTTCCTCAAAGTTTTCACAATATTAAATATGGTGGTTGGTAAAACACTTAAATTTGATGTGATTTTGCATTTAACTTCGATTAGTTTCTGTGTCTGAGTGTGTTGTGATGAGTAAATTGCCGTTAATAATGTGACTAAAAAGGAATACTCTTCATGTCTAAATTCAATTTTCATTTACTTCAAGTATGACTTTACTTTGTTTTAAGGTATTTATGGAAGATTCTGATAAACATTGTAGATTTTTAATCAAATATTGTCTTAATTCTGTTAATATTCAAATATCATTGTCAACGTAAACAATGAATAGTAGAAATAAAACTCATCACAGCAAAACTCATCAAATCACAGCAATGCCTTCTTCTCAGCATGAATCAAAAGCACATATCAGACAGTCTACAGACTGGAACAGTTGAAAAATAAACAATATACAAATGCAGATGAAACTCTAATTAAATTTACTCAATGCTGCCAGTATGAAACCATGTGATGTACTGTATATACAGTAGAAGTCAGAATTATTAGACCCCCTTTGATTCTTTTTCTTTTTTAAATATTTTCTAAATGATGTTTAACAGAGCAAGGGAATTTTCACTATGTCTGATAATATTTTTTCTTCTGGAGAAAATCTTTTTTTTTCAGCTAGAATAAAAGCAGTTTCTATTGTTTCTATTGTTTTAAGGACAAAATTATTAGCGCCTTAAAGATATATATATATATATATATATATATATATATATATATATATATATATATATATATATATATATATATATTTTTTTTTTTGATAGTCTACAGAACAAACCATCATTATATAATAACTTCCCTAATTACCCAAACCTGTCTAGTTAACCTAATTAACCTAATAAGTAAGCCTTTAAATGTTTAGCTGAAATGTCTAGAAAAATATCTAGTCAAATATTATTTACTGTCATCCTCTCAAAGATAAAATAAATTAGGTATTACAAATGAGTTATTAAAACTATTATGTTTAGAAATGTGTTGAAAAAAAAATCTTTTCTACGTTAAACAGAAATTGGGGAAAAAATAAACAGGGCTAATAATTCAGGGGGGCTAACAATTTTAACTTCAGCTGTATATATTGCATGTGCTCTGTTCTGTATACCCTACTCAACATTTAAAATGGATCGTCATCATTTTCATCAAAATTGTTTTCTATCTGGGCGTCACGGCGGCTCAGTGGTTAGCACTGGCCACTCACAGCAAGAAGGTCTCTTGTTCGAGTCCCAGAAGGAAAATAAATAAATGTTTTCTTTCTAATAATGCTCATTCTTGTCTTCTAAGGACACTTCAAATGTTGCTTAAGTACACAAAGCTTTTGTGTTTAGCTGTTTTTTTTTTTATTATTGTTTATTCTGCATTCAATGTAAAGTTGACGGTAGACTTGGCCACAGCATGGAACAAAAACAGCTCTTCTTCCTCATCATCTCTTAAGCAGCTCAACCAATCTCTCTAAATTAGGGAATTTGTGAAATCACAATATCCAAAAGAAGAGCATCGTAGTTCAAACTAGGTGTTTACTGTAGTCTTTGAAACATGTTTTCTGTTAAATAGAATTTATCCCTTTGAATTGAACTTTGAGTTTCGTAATCTTGTTTTTTCTTTTGCATACACATCAACAACTAAGGGTAAAAAGTAGAAAAGAACAATAGGACCCTCTTAAGAAGAGTCTCCAGACACAATAAAACAAACTTTAAGTAGCAAAACAGCCCATGTGCCTTTATTATCTATCAAAATAACTTCCCCTCCTTCAAATGACATTTCTTCCTGGTACGAGAGCCAGGACAAACTGTCACTTACATGAGATTGCAGCAATAGTAAAAAGACAGCAATTCAAATATCCAATTAATTCCTGGTAGCCAAAATCCAGAGTATATTAAAAAAATATAAATATTTTTTTTTTTTCAAATCTTGTTTTTCACACAATATTGCTGTTTTAACTGTGTTCATGAGCATACAAATCATTGAAGGGTAAGTTCTCCCAAAATGAAAATATTGTCATTAATTACTTATGTTGTTCCAAACCCCATAAGCCTTTTGTTCATATTCAGAACACAAAAACACATTTATAATTTGAGGTTTCCAACAACTACAGTACCTTTTCAAAAACCAGAAAGGTGATCATTATGATAAAGTTTATTAGCATGACTGAAGTTGTCCATGTGACTCCAATGTTTCATCTTTAATTTGAAGAAGCAACTTCAATTTGCGCAGAAAAACAATTTAATTATTTCCTCTTAAACTTCAGCTCCAGCATCTTTGTAAAGGATCACCCCAGAGCATGTTGTGTTAATGTGAAATCAGACATTCGCATGATAAATCTGGACCATAGGTGCTGTACTGTTTGCAACCAGAAAAAGGAATTAGAATGGGTAATGTGGTGCTTCTAATTTAAGTTGAACTGCAGACGTCCAATAGTGCCTGGCTGCAAACTTGCATATGCGAGGTGAGAAACGTGAGAATTAAGGTTAAGGGTGTCTGACAGTGCAGGTGCACTCAATCTGCAGGCGGACTCTTCTCCAATGATGTTCTCACTTCCTTTCAGGGCCTTGTAAGTAGTAGTTGTATAAGTTGTCAAAATAGAGACAGAGACATCTCTGATTTCATTATTAGCGTTTCAATTGTGTTCTGAGGATGAATAAAGGTCTTGCATGTTGGGAACAGCATGGGGATGAGTAATTAAAGAAGACAGAAGTAATTTTATGTGAATTATCCATTTTACAAATTCTAAAGCCTTAACCATTTGAAGTGTATCATAATTGTAGGATTGTTTTCTACATTTTTAACACAATTTCATTAAATATACCCAAAACATATAACAGGGTTTCAATAACAATGACACATGGAACCAGAAAAC